CAGTTCGCACCTGACATTGTTAAAACAATGTATAAACTCACTGATTTTCAAATTTCGCCCATTTTACATACGAATTGAAACACTAGTGGCCTTAATCTCGAAACCCATTTTTCCATTCACGAGACTTAATCGAAATGTGTCAAACTGAAATTGTCAAACTATTTATATTCGAAATGTGTCAAACTGAAGTTGTCAAACTATTTATATTTATAAGCTTTTAACACACAATTTGTGTATAATGTTAACCTCATAAAATTGTTACTCATAAAATAAACCAAATTGTAATCTGAAATTAATATTAATTATTTATTAAAATTATCGCTTATACGAGTACTATCTTAATTTGACAAAAGTGACTTGCAAAACAAGCTTCTCGTAAAAGTTTTAAGCACTATTGCACATAGAATACTTAAAGTACCTAACATTTTTTCTCAACTCATTTAATAATTAGTGAACCCTTAAATAATATTGATTTGTGACCGAGAATGTATCAATATCAATAATCATTACCAGAGAGAGACTTCTCCTGTCATGTTATTTATGCTAAAAATAAATGGTGACCATTAAAGGTACCAAGCTGGGTCCGTAAACATAGTTTATATTAATAAAAGTAACATAAACAACAATTTAACATATCAAGTCAACTCTGTTTGATATATTATAAGAAATATTTAATTATATACTTATTTAGTTACTAGTTACATACAAATGTCTAGAAATAAATGTAAATATCCGATAAAGCAGAACAATAGACCCGGAATAACTTTAAACCGGTCTTGTCCAGGATTGTTTTCACCCTACCGAGCGCTGTCTAGTAATGTCCGTTATACAAGAAATACATATTAAATCTAGGTATTTGATAGTAATTTAGATAAATATACATTACAATAGTGGTATATTACCCATTTGAATAGAAACTTAATGTATTAAATGTTATACGTTTGCGGTAAATAATAGTTTTATATAATCACTTTTTATTTCAAACTTGTTTCCTGAATACAACACTAATTAAAATATAATCACTTTGTCTGTGTAGGTATCATAATATACGTAATTTGATATAACATTAAATATCTATCCCTTACATTTTTATAATAACAGAATATAAAGGAAATCGTATCCAATAATATCGTTTTCTATAAAAATATGATATAATATAAGCACTTGTCACTTTTTTCCGTAAATAGTGACCATAAAAAATTTGATATCCTAGTACAAAGAGAATTAAAATACCAAAGAATACTAACTATAGGCTATTAGTACTCTTTGTATATTTCTAAAAATTATTCTGTTATTTTTGTTCCTATATAAAACTCTTTAGAATATGTCTTTGAAAGTCCCTACCTTTTACCGTAAACAATCCAACGTCAAAGTAAGCTGCTTATATTTGCAGAAAGTGAAATTTTTACTACTAAACACATATTTGAAGTGCCTAATGTTAATTTATTCTCAGTTTACAAGGTTTACCTCAGATGAATGCTTCAATTAACTAAACATTTTCAATTGTACAGTTAATATTTTATTTACCCTTGAATTTAACAATAAGGTGGGTCTCTATGGGTTTATCAATCGGCTTATTACATTCAAGGCTGTCTTGTGGACTGCCTCCACAGGCGGCCATGTCTACTTATTACAATAGGGTCCCGGTTTCCTATTGTGTATCATAACTTGAGTTCAATAACGTTGATAATATGTAAATTGTTTAATTTTTAAGCGACGACTTCCAAAACAGGGGTGTTCTCAATTTTTCTGTTTTTTTTTTTACTATGTTACTCGCATATGTCGGTAACTGTATACTGATTTTTATATAATTCTTTACGTAATTAATAACGTTTACTCCCATATTAGTCACATATTAATTTTACATGGATCCAGTCTGCTGGTTTTATTTTTGTGGTACAAAAAAATGCTTCAAATGAAATACAATCTTCTAGGAAACAAATCCGTGTTCTAAATTAAAATATTTTGAATATAACGTATCTACGATACGTGTCATTATTCGTCTGTGTGTGAAAAAGAGACTTCAATCGAGAACATACACACACGTGTATTTGTCGATTGAAGTCTCTTTTTACGAATTAAAATGTATTTTTGCACTCTCATTCTTATTACGTCTATTGAAAAAATAATATATAGTTTGATATACATCTGCTTAAAATAATACAAATAAATATGTACTGCATTTTCTTTAAATAAACACTATTGTTTTAAAGCAATAGCATTTTAAATCTACAACCTTTACACTTTGGTAAAATGAAATATCCGCTTGGAAACAATAATGTGCCGCACCTATACTGTTCAACGGTAGTATATTGAATTCAGTTGCTGGGAACGGTTCCATAGTCAATTTGTTTGCTTTATAGTGTGTTGCGCACTGCTGTTGCTATTGGCAGCTGAATATTCCCTACAAATAAAAACACGAAAAACTGATATCTGCAATACTACAGTTTACAATAAATTATAACCATAAGAATTTGTAATTTTCTGTGTTAATACTATATTAAAAATTATAATATTCATTACTCTTGTAGATTCTTCAGATATATACATAAATTCATTCGTTACAAAATAGAAAAAATAGTATGGAACCAACACGGTGAGTATCAGTTGCAAAAGACACCATCAAAATCAATGCAAAATTGGTAAAGATATAACGTAATATACGCAAAAATATAGTCAAATTGATAAAAACATATCTAGATTTTTTATTCATATACGTAAATGTGTAACTGGTTTCGTTTTATTTTCATTTCTAAATATAGGTTACGTATATATTTACATTTTCTACATTTATTGTCACATTTGTAGAGTTTTTAATATTTCATCATATTTTTTTCTTATCATCATCTAAATTGACGTCGAACTTTATGCATAATAAATTATTATAACATTCAAACATTACTTCCAAGTAGTAATTTATAATACTTTCTAACTACTACTATGTTGGAACAGTAAAGCTTTTGTTTCAGTTCTAGTTTGCCAGTTCTCATAATAAATAGCTGTTATTACTACAACTCAAATCTACCTAACTAAACCTACCTATTGTTAAATACACAGGCGTATAAATAATACACAAACCTATTCAGAGAAATCCAACGCTTCGTGCCTTTGAAAAATCTGTGTCCCCAATTGCAAAATACTAGTCTGTAAATTACGCCTTCCCTTAAGAGAAGTAATTGTATTGGTGCCACTGTTGCCACCTCGTCTAGAGAATAAGTAACTAAATTGTGTCTAAAAGATATTATCTAGATTGCAAACAATCGCAATTCAGCTATAAAATTATAAAATGGCCCTCTAATATTCTCTGCTAATTTTATTAATTGAGTATCGCATACTAAAAGAAAATGTATTTAGAAATATGTAATCTATCATGATTGAAAAACGGTAATTTTGGTAACAGATAAGTTTAAAAAAGTCGCTAGGTTTAGCTAAAAAGTAGTTAAAGTAGCGTCAGTGATTGGTACCAGACACTATAAACCCGTAGCAAGGGAGGCGTGGTCGGCGTCACGTCGCGTCGGCGTCGTGTCTACGCCACTTGATTGTTTTAGAACCAACACTCATGACCCATCTTCTCCCACACATTTAGACAAGGAAAAAATTTCACCCACATATTTTCAATATCCTAAAATATTATTCGGCACCTGTTAATTATAAACATGATCTGTTATGTATTCTTTATTACCTATTCATATTGTTTTTCTTTTATTTTCTTTTTGTTTAACATTGATACTCACTGGAAACCAATTTTCGTAGCTATCATATCATAAATTAATATTACAAAGGTGACTAATTAGGTGTGTTCTTTACTCGTTGCTGCTTTTTGATCTGTTTTAGAAAATAGATCAAAAAGATCTTAATAGATTAAGATTTTTTAATTTCTGACATTGCTACTTGCTGCACCATATTGATTATAATGAATTATTACGCCTCTTTGGACGTGAACGCAAGCGTGATCTTCGACAAAAATTCCACGGATCCAATCTCGACTCTCGAACGCGTGTTTCGCACCTTGATCTAAATACTTGCGACATTGTCTACTGACTGACGACGTTTTATTATGCCTCATCTGATCAGTCGTTCCATTCACAGAAAGTAGCATTAATACAAATATAGTTAATGCCTTTAAAGTTAATCAAAAGAATTGTTCATGATCCGATCAGACAAACAAACATTGTAAAAACCATAACACTTCATTCGAAAAAAAACTGTCGCTGTACATTCATTAATCATTAAATTAAAATAACTACCAGTAAACACTATATTAAATTTTCATAATATTATCAATTTATGTGTTTCAAATTGTTATTTATTTATTACGATATAACTTTATTTTCTCATTGGGGCTACTATTTTCTTCCCAGATTCCCAAGGGAAATAATCTCTATCAATGCTCTTGCACATCTATATATCATCTTTAAGAAAAGTTTTCCAGCAGTACTATAATCATTCTTTTAAAAAAAAGTATATATTTTATTGCCATTGTTGTTACTTCAACTATTACACATTTGTATTCATTTCTTAAAGAACTGAGTGTCAAATACTAACTAGCCCTGATTGCCCATATGATGGAAAATTATAACCACCGCCTGTAGCCTAAACAATACCAGGAACATAATTGTAACACCCTCAGTTTTGCACTGCTCCTAAGGACTATGGTGTTATTCTTTTTTTATTAGAGATTGTTCTAGCTATTTGAACCTTCAGATTGTACATTTTGTACTCATATTTCTTGGAAAGTAACTTTAAAAAAATATTTACTTAACAATATATGCACTTGTATCAGATCTAATTTTGTATAGATTCTTTTAATGTATTATACATGTACTGTTGGTTTGTCTTAATAAGTAAATAAATATGCTAATTGATCATTAACTAGTTATGCATGCATAACATTGGAATTATTCTTTGTCAAGTCAGTAAAAGTGTGCGAGTTACTGCTTCATAAATGAGTTGTTGGGTTAGTGGTAATCACTTTTAACTATACTTTAAACAAACAACTATTATTTTAGGAGATATACAATTCTGTTTATTCTTATCAATATAACAAACACATTTAACAATTACTGTATAATAATAATAATGTATGTATAGAATCATCATCATCATTATCATAACAAACCATTAACGTTCCACAGCTAGACATGGGTCGATCGTCTTTATAAGAGGAAGATAAACGCACTGTTACCACGCCGGCTAAATGGCTCTATATACAGTTTTATTTCACATTTTCCTTTTTCTCTCAGTACTCCCATAGTCCCTTTCGAATTATCGAGTGACACATTATATGTCTTACTCCGCCACCATACGGACAAAGAATGTAATATATAGAAAAACTTGTATTGGTTTATAAATTGGCATATTGTGTAAGTTTATTGATATCGTACACTGCATGAATCATTTATTGATAATGTATTAAGAAGCGCTTCGATTTCGTAACACTATATGCAATTTCACCATTATAATATGTCTCAATAATGAGAAATGTCTATGTATTTCACGTTTGTATCAAAAGGTGTGCCTGCAATGTTGGTTACGCAAGTAGTTCACGTGATCTGTTAGTGTTTATGTTGTGCCAAGTATGTATGTATCGACGGAACTCCTATCAGGCATTGGGTAACTGTTGGAAAGAGCTTCGTTACGTAGAAGTTTCAATACAGCCTCGCAAAGTAAGGCCGTAGTTACCGTCACGCCGCGCCGGTGAGAGGCGCCCCTCCTCTGACGGAAGGTCGCGAGCGCCCGACACGAAGGAGAATGGCACCAGATTGAATCCTTGCGGTGACCCGCCCGGCCACTGTTCACGTTACAAACAATACCACTTTATAAAACCGTATTATATCGCCTAAAATGTTTTATGTAATTATTTATTTTATATTGGTTACAGTTATATTAATAAACTTGGTGTATTCCGTTAACATTTCAAACAAAATAACATCAGACTATTTAATTATACTGGATAAAATTAATCTTATCACTTTACTAAGAAAACTAATTAACACAGTTCATTCACTGACATTGTAATCATAATTAAAAAAAAAAGTACTGAAACATTTACTAAATTATTAATGGGGGAGAAAAATTGCAATGTATTGGAATCGAATTACTTTCAATTAGGAAATATTACAAGGTATTGAATATCGCTGTCCGGGTTCTTTCCAATTATTGCATACAATATAATTGTAATACAACATAGATAAAAAATATCAGTTCATACTTGCAAGTTTTTTTATTAAATTAGTACAGTGCAGACCAATCAAGAGAGCGGCATCACGAAAAACACGGGCAAGCTACACATGGAATTCATTGGCGAGTACTCACTGGGCTTAATTTTTTCCATTATGAGTACACATAATTAAATGAATAGTGTTACCTCACCGTTGTCGACGATTGCGACAAGAGCCGCATCGTCCATTAGAAAGTCGGCGAATATGCAAATAGTATCGTAGAAACCTCACGAATAACTGGCCACTCACTTCGCCTTTAAATGTGTCTGCGATGAAAGTGACTATTACCGTTAGTAAATTGTGTTAGAACAATTTCTTCCGCAGACGCATTGCCAAATTCACCAGCTGCGTTTCTTCTCAGACGAGTTACTTTTCAAGTATTTCCTCTTTTATGTCATTAAAATACAACTTGTTCAAACGAAACATTGTTTATCAACACGACTACTACCTGAATTAAACGTTTACATTGGTTTGTATATTTATAAATACGCCTATCGGTTCTCATGATTCCTTATTGACTAACAATATGAATGTTCAATGTATAAACTTTACACGATTATATTCTAATTAGACACGTTAACTAGTGATAAACCAAAATTTTTTATTTGTGATTATATCAACATATAGCAATATTACATCTAAGATTTTATTTTGCTATTATTAGGCCATTTATGAATTTTGCGTTAAATTTAAATTTGAATTTATCAGCGGTGACATAAGCTGTTTAATACATAAGCCGAAAATAAAATAGATTCTCTTTTATAATTGTTATTAATAATATCATTTCATTATTACGTAGCAACGTAGTGATATATGCTTGCTTACAAATAACTTGCAGTCTACATTTTATCTTATCAAAAAATCGCCGCGATTGGTTTTTTTAACATCGTGTTTTTTACTTTTGTCTTGTTTTTGTTCTGACTTGTATTTCTCGACACTATTGTACCCAAGGTTGAAAGATAAACCGTAAACAACAATTATTATCTTAAGTATATAGAGTATAAAATAACAAGTTGGTAACCAATTAACATAGTATCACAACCCGGTTGCGTGTATTTTCCGCTAGTATTCGCCTTAAAGCGATCCATTTATTATCGTCGACCGTTCGCTGACGCATGCCAATATCAGAATAAATGTAATGTGTTCACGGTCCATAGTATTTAAAGTTCAATTTGCATCACTCGACCTGTACCACCTCCGCAAGTTGCGTCAATAAGATACAACACGTTAATTCGAGGTTGGGGCGCACGATCGCGTTTTGCGTCCGGGTTTGTCCCGTCATTTCATCTACCTACATTACTACACAAGTAATCAAACGGTTTCTCGGAAATGAAACGGAACTTATTGCTTCTACCTGTCTCATGTACGCAACGCATATGTACTTAACCAGTCTAGCTCCAAGCTAACAACCCGAGCCTATGACGAAGATGTGTTTCTCGCTTGTATGTGTATATCTCTCGGTCGAATGAGCTGAACGGACCGGTTGTGACGGCCTCTCACTTTGCAACATCGTGTACCGCTCGCCGCTTGCTGTGAAATTAGGTAACCAACAAAAGCCACAGTCGCTGCGCACGACAGGCATTGAACAATAAAGAAATCCCTCCCACGAAATGGAAACCAAATGCTGAAAACGTTCTTTTGCACATAAAACATGATGACTTGATTATGAAATTTACTACCATAACCGGTGTATGCTATGTCTTGATAGTTGCGCCGCTTATAACATAATTTACTGGGTGGTATTTGAATAACGCCTTGGAAAACGGATGAATTTCCTCGTATTTTCCGGAATGACCGAGGCGCACGGCACGACCTTCGTTTAAAGACAAACAATAAACCAACGACCTTGACATGATACGATCTATAGATGCATTGGACTAATTACCTATTAAACAAATAACTCATAGTGTGTGTTACTGTATTAATTACAATTGCAAACAAAATTACTAATAAAATAAGCAAACCCAACAATATAAAAAGCCATGAGAACACAAATGATGCGGGCGGAACGGCTGCTCACCGAATGCCGAAGTATTCTATCGCGACGCGCTCTTTATATCGGCCTGTGGTACCGCAGAGAAAGCCACTCCCCGCGCTCCCTCGCACCACCCGCGAGCTCTGTTCGTAGCGGGTTTTTTCCTCATTAGACCCATAATTCCATATTATACTTTGTTTATCTATCAGTGTTCGTTCACGTTCTGACAAACGTATCGTGACTTTGTTTATGTATCTGTGTTGATTTTTGTCGTCTTTTGTCTCGAGATCTAGATCCTTTTTGTTTTAGTAAATTAACGTGAAACTAATCACTAACAGTTTTGCTCATTATTTCAACTAAGACTATAATTATCCATTGTACCAGTTATATCAGATATGTTGAAGTACAAAACAATCATATATGGTCAAATAATGTCAAACATATCAAGAAAATCATATTAAAAAATATTATTGTTATTTTTATATGCTTATGTTTTTTAGACGTTCTATAAACAAAGTCTTAAGCAAATTATCTAATCAAACTATATTAGTCATACGTTTTGAAACAAATAGAATAATGCACCCTTAGCCGGAAAAGTGGGTTGCGTAACAAATGTTCCGAGTATCGGTTAACACGTTAGCGGTGGGACTTGTCGGGTTATTGCTCCATCAGTCTCCGCTTCGTGGCGCACTCTTTAATAGGTTAATTGCCTGGCATTGTGGTGCTGGCACACATCGTCAGCCGCGACCTTAAAGTGACTCGCGGCCACGCATGTAGGTGTGCGCGTCACCAAATGAGGTACGCGCCTGGACTGGACCGTTTTAATTGTCTTTCTCGTTGCCATAAAACAAATCATTAATGTCGGTCTTCACGTTATTTGAACTGTTTTTAAGTCAACAAAAAGATATAAATGTGGCCTGTCTGATTTTCTATTACATTTACATTCACAGCTTAAACTATCAATGTATGGTATATTCGAATGTACTATTATTTATCGCCAATTTGCGACTTTATACGATGAACCCTGAGTATAACAACTATAATTGAATATAAAAAAACTTGTAAATAAATAAATGTTTTCCTAGCATCGCGTTGTAAATGTGAAACGTGAAATCGTTACTCCCAATCATTTAAATTTTCTAAGATTCTTGTGTTCTGCAATTATTAAAGATGTTATTAAAAATAGGGTACGACGGTGAAACTATAACATCAACTTGGAACGTACAACCGCGACGTTGCCATTCCAAGCGATGAAAGTCATTGCTTACCTCCGAGTTATGAACACGCAATACGCACACGGTTGCAACTGAGCGCTTATTAGCCCAGGTTACCCTTATTTGGAGTCGCAACGATATAATGTAGGCTCATTCGTCTTCTTGTAAGATTATTTTTAACGATATTGAATTTAGCAAATAGATATTTCCTTTTAATGTCGATATCCATAGACTTTTTTTCATTGTATCCTGTGAGTCGTATGAGTGATTCACCAGAAACTATGTGAATTTGTGCCAGCCGTCCCACGTTGAAACTCCCAACTACTCAACCCGTACTACTTATAGATTCCTTATAAATTGTTCATCATCTACATTTGTCAAATAACACAAATATATCCGATGTCCTTTTTCCTAATGTTGACTGTAACGTTATCTATATTCTTCCGGTCCGACGCAAGCTTTGTTTGTCTCTGTTTTACGTCACAGCGACGACAACGATCTAACTATTCATTCGAAGTGTGTCGATACTATTTTAGTATCACGAAAAAAAAAACATTAAAATACATGTTTGCTCCGACGTTCACAAAGTTTTGCTCAAGGGCATATTTAACTTTAAAAACTTTATTGCTAACACAACTTCGTTCGTAATAAGAATATTATATACAATGTTTAAAATTGAATAGGTTTGACTTTTTGTTCTAATATTGTACAACTTATTATCAATATACAATAAATCCATAAACTGCACTTATAAAATCGTTTGTCTTAACTAACACACAAACAAAATTACTAAGTTTAAAAAGCTATAAAGCAAAGAATGATATTTTGAAAATTTTAATTCAAACTAGAAACATGATATAACAGCTAGTAAAGTATCAATTTAATCGATGTGATGATCATGATGATTTATTATTCATTATTCTCTCAAGCTTGTACTATTGTTGTCAAGCTTGTGCTATTATTGAGAAATGGACTTCAAAATAATTATTATGTTATTCTTTCCTGTTTTCAGAAAATCTCCATTCCGGCCTCCAATGGGAATGGCCCATCTGGTGAAACTACATTTCATTTTAGCGTTAACAGTAACGCAGAAATGGAAGGTCCACAGGTAAGACACAATAAATTTATACTTGGCAAATTTTATCACTCATCTCCCGTTTCTCTATGGTATGATATTTATAATGTGTATCCATGAAGGAAATCTATAATCAATATTCTCAATGAACGTAATGTATTTCTCAACAGTTTGCATTGAAACGAGATTAAAATGCAGTTGTTAATAAATACTTATACTATTTCTCATAGATATCTTTATAGCACAGTTATTACACCCTAAACATGACAATTTTTGAGCTTTTTAAATTGTATTTGGTATTTTATTAAAATATAAGAGAAACATAGGAAAATGAATAATGAGTTAATATTTTGTACTTGAATATAATAAAAACATAATACACAAAATGTACTTGTCGGTGCTAATGAAAGCTACATTAAATGAGGGACTAGTACTAGTACTTCAACAGGCAAATACTCCGTGGACTTCTACTCTTTAAAAATAACTTGATTCATTCTCAATACCCAACTCATAGTTAATTTTAATCTTCCACTCCAGCTTTTTAATACACTAATACTTTTTTAAACCTTTTTGGACTACGCGCTCTCAAGTAAATGTGCAACCTGTCCTTTCCTGGTCAGAAATTCCGTAATTATCTACTTATACACCTAATCATCTAATAACAATTTAAAGCCATGAAAAAAGTATAGTAGTGAAATAATTACACGTGCATTCTATTTTAGTTTACATGATAGTCACCTTGATGAAAACTTCGTCATGTGGGCTTTATCAGACGCATAATATTATATCATTATTTTGCCCATTAGATACAATATTATTCAGCTATTTGTAAAAGGAGATGATTCTCAATTTATCTGTATATTTTTTTTATATGCTATTTATTAACCGCTTTTGATTTTTTTTAATCCACAGCTTTTACACCTTGTTAATCCTATAGTTCATTTTTATCACCACTACGCGGTTTTCTGTACCGATATCTTAAATAATATTTCTTACATCTTAGCGCCTTAACGGCTGAACTAATAGTAATTATATTTTACACACAATATTTAGCATCTGACATGTTATCCCTATCAATCATGTCCCATTCATGAGGACAAATTCGCGGGCATTGCTATATATTATATAAGTGAATATAGAAATCATTCATTCGATTTACTGCAGTAAAATTGAACATGGTAAATGCATATTCCTCAGATATGTCGTAAAGGTCTTGTTATCTCTAGAAAACTTGTTATTGTCAATTATTATTAGTTACTGTTGTTATTTCTCTAATTAACGAAAATATTTTACTTGGTTATGACGTAATATGATAATGGATATTTTGAGCTTGAACTTATTTTTGTTACTACGTTGATACGATTGGTACAGGTTGCAATTGCAACTCACCTTTAGGCATATGGCCTGATGTTTAATCACGTGTTGACTTAATAAACCTGTTATCAAATTATAATCTTATTATATAAACAAGTTCTTTATTAGGTGACTGTATAAGAAATGCATAAGGTGCCATTGCTTTCGTGAAACAGGAATAGAACAAAGAAAAAAACATCAGGGCAGTAGAAGGAAATCTTAAAAGAAACCCCATATAACATGTTTATAAGCCGAAATTAGATTATTTGACATTAATATATTACATATTTCTTTGAATGAAATGTTCAGCTTCACTGGTAGAACATTAGCTCTTGATAGAGCTAATATTCTACTGTACTGATGGTGCAACTAATTATTTCTTAGATTTTGCTGTCTTTACTGTTTAATGAATTTTATATTCTCTACAGCCTTGGCCAAAAATATTTTCCACCTTAGAAAATTACAATTAACTTAAAAAAGACTGAAGGTTTGAACGGGGAAAAAACCATGTACTTAAAATACCTTTAATGCTAAGATTAAATTAATATAGCTTTAATTATAGCATTTACTCTTTTGGATAAAGAAGAAATTAAATTTTAACATTCTTCCAGAATTATAGCTATTCACTCCTGTACTAAACAATTCTTTAAACTTTCTTTGGAAGTAATCGAATGTTCCTTTATCTTGCGCTTTAAAATCGACCATAAATGTTCGATGGACTTAAGATCCAGTAACCGAGGGGACCAACTTTGAAGCTTTATACCATTTTTCTAAAATCTTTTATGACATGGGGCATTATCCTATTAGAAACGAACGCCATCTAGATTTGTATCACCGAACATCATATCCAATAAGGGTTCCAGCGCTGTTTCCAGCACCTCAATAATTTTTTTCGAATCCATTCGGATTTCACACACGACCATTTTTCCAATTCCTGGGACAGACATGCATCGCCAAACTATAAGTGCCATAACACTGCCTCCGCCGTATTTTACAGTCGGCACCACATACTCAGGTATGAATTGTTCGCCAAATCTGCATCTCCTGAAATTTAATAAAATAATAAGATTTTTGAAAATACGTTTGTTAATGAACAATTAACTTCAATACATCTCAAACGTCTTTAATTACTATTTAATCCTTTAAATTACGTACCTGAAAATTGGATTCATCTAATCAAACGATATTATCTCCTCGGTGTAAAGTTGATGTTCTAAACACCACTGCGAACATAAATTTATGTTCTTCTCAGACAACTATGGCTTCTTTCTTGCCTTGCAACCCTTATGCCCAGCATCCTGGAGCCTTCTTTTAGCAGCTCTAGCAGAAAATGTTTTCCCCAACGTCTCGCTTAGTTTAGTAGCCAAGATGTTTTCTTACAATTTTTCAAAGAAGTTTGCATTAACTGTCTATTTTCTCTTACAGTTGTATTTTTTTTCATTCCACTTCGTTTCAAGTTTTCCTATCGTGTAGTTATCTTGTACCTATTTAAGGTATACCTTACGGTACTATGAAGACATATCATAATCTCGGCAATTTCACTTTTATTTTTGCCTTCTTCAGACAACAATTGGATTTTTAATCGTTCCTCGTTACTTAATTCACGGCGCTTAGGCATTTTTCAAAATTTTTATAAACTGCCTTCCGTAAAATAAGAACCAATTTACAATAATTTGTCAAGAGTTCTTCACACTATGATGAATCGTAGTAAATTCAAATTAATTTCCCTAAAATGCCACTTACTTAGAAATGAGTCATCTCTATTGTGTTTATAGTTTTATGGCATTGTGCGCTGTTTTGATTTGCTCATGTTAATCTTTAGATGTGTACTAGGCGACAATAGACCCACTACAGGCCAATAGATAAGAAATTTCTAAGGATTTTTAGGGTGGCAAATACTTTTTGCCAAGGCTGTATATTCCGTTGAATTTATTCAAAATGTATACATACTATAAACAAAATATTTCAATAGTTTTAATATCAATTAACAGAAAACTCAAGAATTTTGTTATACGTAAATACATGAGTTCATTACATTATATTTGCACAGGTGATGACTACTTAACGTCATATATTTCAAGTTAAATATTATGTATAATAAGCTATCTTAAATGAAACTATAGATAAGCTAATTTCCATTTTCAAATTTATGTTTAACATTTTAGATATATATTGGAAATGGAAAAGTGATGGCCGTCATTGTAAAGACCTGATCAATATTACAGGCGTTACAGAAAATACTGTGCCGACCATAGTTTTTAATAATTTTTACTGCAAAGTCCAAAATTTTGGAGTCTTAAACTGATTTAATATATAACCAAGGTGTTGAGATAAATTTGTTATAAAATAAATAAAAATATCCTCTAATATTAATTTTTTAAACTATGTTCAACCGAAGTGATGGATCTCCCATACGTATAACGGATTATAAAAATAATGTAATGTTATGCAAAAAAATAACTGCTATGTAAATTGTAACATAGTATAAAACCAACACAAGATTTCATATCAGCCGTTAACTGACCACTGCTGATCATAAGCTTCCCCCAATTAGTGGAGTATTGCCAGTAATTGCCACACTTAGCAGGCGAGTTGGCAACTATAGTTAGTTTTTGGTAATATTTCAGAAGGGACGCTGCTGTCCATCCCTCGACCAAATGCTAAAGATTTACCTAATTTAACTAGGAATGCTCTATGTGGTTAATATAGACTAAGAAATTTTATTTTTCTCCACGATTTGTTAAAAACCACGAACAGGTAGACACATGAAATATATAGATAGTTAATTAAATTTTTACTCATCAACAATTAGAATACAAGCAGTGTATATATGGAATAACAAAAAAAAATACTTCAGACTTTCAATATGTTACTTAGCAATATATCTTTTATTCGAATTAAATATACATGTTATTGATTTGTAACGCCCTGTGACTTTCACGCGACATTAACTCGCAATAAAAAATAATGTTTTTAGCCTATATGTTATTAAAGTGACAGTGTCTACTTCACGCATACATGTTATAAGATGATTAATGCATACGCTAGATCATAAACATCTAGATAGAGTTACCATAGAAATTATCGACAAAAATAGTCCAACTTTTGTCTTCATTTTTCGTAAGGTATAGAATTGTATAAATCTTCTAATTAGTGATGTTAATCATACAAACTAACATTTTGTATTTATTATCTTTTAAACAAAAACTAGTACAGTAGAGTCCTTCTGATTTCCTTTTATGAGTATAATTTACCTTAATACTTTTTTCACAATAATTGCTAACTTAAAAATGGAATTTAATATTTGGGAAGTACTGCTAATTACTGAATCTGAATAATATTGTGTTTCACAAAAAATACTGAAATTTGATAAAATTAACTATTTTAAAAACTGCTGAAATTTGATAAAATTTTTATGGGACTAATCTGTAAATATATCCTTTCAGATAATAAAGAATTTTCCAAATCGGTTTATAATTGACGAAGTTTCAATGTAACAAACATAAAGAATCCAACCGATTTGAGAACCTCCTTCTTTTTAAAGTCGGTTGATAAACGAATGTCACTGTGGTAACAAATATATGAATCTTAAGAATTAATTTTTGCAAAAATTACATAATATTTTTTCAAAGATTATGTAATTCTGGCGACGGATTACGGATGTAAATTAGGATCTATACCAAAATCTGTTGTATGATTTATAAAAAATAAGTAGAGAAATAAACAGATACGGACACTACTTAGTTTTGTACTATTTAGAAATATACATAAAATCACAATTATTCACTTGGGCAATGTAGCGTGTGCACGCTCGCAACACCGACTAGATGCATTTTCATGTACCTAACGTTACTCGTAGCTGAGACTAATCGAATGATGTCTAATTTGCGGGCCCAGCACACATACTACATACAAAAAACATTATCTACTCTGACAGTCTATTAAAAATCGTATAAAAAAAATTGTGATTGATTTGATGCTGACTCGATGAAGTAATAGCTAGGATATATTTAATATTCTCCGTGGTATCCCTCTATAATGTATATGCGCGCTCGCCTGAGTTTGTAGGTCGCGAAACGGTTGCAGTGGATAATAAGTTATGACCGACAAATTCGTTGGAATAAACTTACGTATGGATAGTTCGAACTATGCCCTAAATATTTTCACTAAACAAACTAGGCTAATTTTATCATTCTAATTTGCAAATTGTATTTTATAATTAATTACTTATGTTTCTAGCAACAGTTGTGATTTACATAAAATCTTTGGCTTCATAGCACTTGAGTGATATTTAGATTAATAAATAGACAATGGTTGATTGAAGAAACGGGCTAGATATCATGAAAGCTATGGGAGCTAATATCTTAACTGTCTCAAGATTGATATAAATGCGCAAAATCACGCTAAATTAAGAAATGGAATCAGTTTAGAAAAAGGATCAGAAAGTTGACCTTGGCTATAGCCGTAACAAAAGCTACATCAAAGTTTAAGGCTCTTATTATTCATAGGCGTATTAAAGATTATTTTCCAATGTGGGCCTGGCCTCTTAAAAATGGCGCATACTCTCAGACATGTCTTTGTGCTGCTTTGTTCTGACCTTTGGGTGGACACACCCTGTGGAATAATCTCCGAAAGAGAAGTTAATAGTCTCTGGAACCTGTACGCAACGAGTTATGAAAACAGACGAAGTAAAATATATATAAACAAGGATAGCGAAGGCCTTTGGCTTTCGATTCTCTGCCTACGCCTGAAGTGATATCTCCTCGTTTCAGCTTTCAACGCCGTTCCTATTCTATTTTTTAACGTCTGTTATAAATTTCTGTACGTTTCAAGCAATTTTATTATTTTGTGCAGTGAAAAATAAAAATGAATGTTCACTTGGAATGCAGCGCGCGTTGAGACGGTTACTCAATAGCCGTTAGAAAGTGCAATTTCAGGCACGAAGCATTCGTATTGTATTGTAAAACTGTGGTAGAGGAGACCTCAAATAAATCTAGTAAAATCACGTGTGAATACTACTTTCTTAAACTATTTTATAGTAGTTATCATAAATCATATTTATTATGGCTTCAAAATCATTCATATTGCCATCACTGAAATTTCTACTCAAGTTCTTCTAATTTGTATTAAGTTTTTTTCAATACGCCAATTCGAATTTTAAATATTTTGTGTTAATCAAGGTGATTTACTAGCGTGAATACTAATTGGTATCTCTGACGTTTATACATTCTTTTTTTTTTTTGTAACAAGACTTTTAAGATCTCACTATGTCTATATATCAAGTGATTTAATATGTAAATGTGAGTTCGGATTGTTCGGAAAGTTCAAATGGTTATCATGTCAAAAGTTAATTCTCTAATTTCGATATGAGTAGATAAATACCGTACTGCTTGGTAATACTTAAATTTTAAATCTAGTAACATATTGAAATAACAATATTACAACAACATTATAATATTTTAACAAAATTACTCATGTGCGACTAAGGGAGTTTAATGCCAAAAGCCAAATTGCAGTGGCCAACCTGCCTGCTAAGCGTAGCTACTACTGGCAAAACCCCTCTTATGGGGGAGGCTATGTTCAGTAGTGGACAATTAACGGCTGATACAACTCTTGTGTAAAATTGTATTATTTTATATACATAATTAGTTATTAATCCTAATGCTTCTGCGTTTATAAAATTTATTATTATTATGTAAAAAGGTAAATTATACATGAATATATATTTATTTTAGAGAACTTTTTAAGCTGTTTTAAGCCGTGAAAACTTTACCATAATAACCCATTAATATTCCTCTCTTTATATTGGATCTTATTTCTTATCGTTTTATGCCATGAAAATGTTACCATAATAACCCAGTAATGTCAATCTCTTTGTAGTGAATGTCTCTGCGAATACTTAATAGGAGGACATTAATTTTCTTACACTGGTGTATTATGCTTTCTTCTTCTACTCCAGTCGCCTCTTACAAGAGCTTGAGGAAAAAATATGTAATGAAAATTGAGAATGACACTTTCAAATTAATCTCAGGTATTAATATATTGTGCAAAATATTTATCCTAATTATCTAACGTTTACTTCCAGGGTTCGTTCGAATGCGTCAGGGGTGGGGGCGCGCGGCGGCTGGAGTCGTGCGGGCCGTTGCCGCGCAGGATGCGAGTGCAAGCTAACGACGACTCATACGAGGCTACTAAAGACCGCATGGCGAGAACTGTCGCTGCGGAACAGAGCAAATGGTACATATATTTTATTACACGGCTTACAATGACAAACAGGCCGTTGGCCTACCTAACAAAGATTACCGTTGTCTGTAATCATGGACAGCACCATCGTAGAATTCTCTTTGACTAACACCCATGGTACCCCTCATATGTTATTATTATCGAAATCTAAATGTACCTTATCCCACCCCCCAAACCGCATAGCTTTACAGCGGAAACGCTAGTAAGACGGGTACCTACCAAGCACCCATACACTTTTATGTTATTATTTGTATTAGATATTTCTTAATGACGTACTAACATTTCGTAACCATGTCCTCATATTTCGAATTGAGACAAAAAATGCAGAATATTCAATTGTATCAAATTTATTGAAAACTGCGCAATTGTATTTTGTCAAATTTGCATTATTCAAATTTCAATTATCGAACATGTAGACATTATATAATCTAATATTTCTCTTGAAGTAGTTCAATTTATTTGAGAACGAATATTTTTTATGCACTTCTTTATACATTTTCTTCAAACATTACTTTATACAATAACTTTATCTTAATCTTTTTATCAATTAAGTTGTTATTTATAAGATTCAGAAATATTAAAAAGATAATATGTTCAGTGACTATAGCTTGTAATTGCATAAGAAAAACAAATCAATATTTTTTGACAATATTTTTATTCTGAATGCATTACATATTGTATTATTCTTTTAGACTGTTTCATAATATCTAATCGAGTCGATATCATTACAGCACCCGCGTCATAAAACCGAACCAGACGGATATTGGACGCCGCGTCAAAGTCCGCTCAGCGCATCCTGTATACCCAGGATCAGTAGCGGCTCATTTAGCTGAGCGTGCAGATAGAGCCGAGCGCTTAGAACGTTCAGAGCGGCCCGACAGGCCTGAGCGTATAGAGAGACCTGAGCGTATAGAGAGGCCTGAGCGCATAGACAGGCCCGAACGTATAGACAGGCCAGAGAGAGTGGAAAGGGTGGAGCGACCTGCTGTGGCGCCCCCGATGCCTCGCCAGCAACCCACAATGCCCTCGCTGCCGCAGCAGCAACATCAGCAACCGCACCCACACCAACACCAACAGCAGCGACCACCCCCCAATCCGGATCTCACTAAACGATCCATAAAGTTAGTATACAGTTTTTAAACAGTTTATGGTAAGGCTCAAAAATTGTGTTTACATCTCTAAAATGAAGTGTGTTCTTCATCTCTTTAGTAGTACTTGAACGCTATTATTTTGTAATTACAATTCTACTAAAACAAATAGTAGTAACCACTGAAGCGAATAATACTAATCACTTTAAATTCACCATTTACACGTCCCAATACGAGTGTTTGGTAATAAACTATGCATAACACTTTCCAATAGAAACCACCACACAACAATTATGTATGTTAGGCATTAGTAGAAAATAAAATATTGTAAAAAGATCCATGTAACCTTATGGTGCTCTAATTGATACAAAATTTTATTTATTTGCTTTGTTTATTACACATACTCTTATTAAGTTAATGATAACTTAAAACACACTTTGAAACAACATTTTTTGTTTAACTTGGTCTTTTATATAACATATGTAACTGCCTTAAAATGAGCATAAACTTTAATCTAAAGATAACATACTAATACAACACATTCACAAGGTGACATTTAACGGTAACTCGTGTTTTATTATATTAAATATACCGATTAGTTTTATGATGCTTTTGATTCTATAAGAGCATACAGAGACATCAGTCGAGAATACTTAAAAATTGTTAGGTACTTTAAAACTTCATATTGAATGTATTAAGTCAGGTTTAACTTTTGCCAAGTCACTAACGAATAAGTTTGCAAGAGAAGCAATAATCAAAAAAACAAAACCTGTTTTTTTTCGTGAGATGCGTACTTGATACTAATAATACTTAAGAGTTTCTTAAAATCTTAGTATTCCGGTTCATTGAATTGGTCATGAAATTAAAGAACAATAAAAAATATATTTAATGAAGTTACAGTTAGTTAGATTTGATAGTTACAGTGATAATGAATTCACTATAAACATGACTTATCCTTTGGATTAAATTTTAATGATAGGTTACCTTGTCACCTTTGGTTGGACACTGACATGACATGTTAAAGGAAACACCCTTGTATATTCCAAATACGATTAATTAAAGGTTAAAATTCACAAGGCTAAATATACTATGGTATAATAAACCTATTTTTTTTCTTATCACTATGCTTAACATAGTTTTATGGTATAATTTGCTCGATTAGATTTTTCAAATCCATTTCCGATACTGTGTTCTGCTTCTAATAAAAAAAGTTATTTTTTTTAGAAGAAAAAATAATTGAAACTTATAATACACCATTTAATTTCATCAATGTAACAATAATATCAGCTAAGCTTATCATACCTATTAAGTATATTTTATGAAATTTTAATTGTTATGACATTCTTCAAGTCATATCTTACAGTCTTAGGGGTCCCAATCATGTTACGTAAAACACTTATCTGTTACATTATTATATTAACGCGTAATTGGTAAACGAAACTATTATCAGGCTGTAAATATTATCTTCTGTTTAACATATCTCCAATTGCTCGCGTGTCGTTGCCGTATCCAAAAGTTGAGTGATAATGTCATATCGTTATCGGTTTAAAACCACAACGATAATATATTGTGGTAAAGGAAATGTGGTTGCAATATACATACAGTCAACTCGTTTTATACCTTCCCTAACAACTTTACATTGGCTCTTGCATATAATTGTGTCATAAAAGAGGATACTGACTCAATAACTCACCGTCATCGTCATCAACCTGCATCGTAAACCACTATGCCTTGAAATTTATAGACAAACAATTTAGGTACCTTTATAGATTAAGTATTCCCAATTGAATATATCTTTTACTTAAACAAGTTCGTTGATAAACAATTATTTGATTTTAACAGAAGAAAAATAAGGAGAAGGTTATCGATTGGACACGTATATACGAGAATATATATATACTTGGAATCGTTTGATGCGTTTGAGATCGTCATCTTTACTTCCATCACTCTTTTTAGTTTTCAATGTCCAGACATACGTAACTTTATGCAAAGTAATCCAGCTTTCATGTTGTTTTTAAAATTCAAAAGGTAACGTTACTCGGGCGTAATCTCTTTTAAGTTTTAAATAAAATTTTCAACATTTATACCGTGGTGGTTGTAAATACCAATAAATCTATCAACCTTGTTTTAAGTATATTACATATTCATATTTTTGTAGTATCCGCCAAATAAACTCAATGTATCGGATATGAAGTAAATTAACCTTTCTCACCACGATTTTATCGGGTAGGCATATTAATTTGTAAAATAATTATAAATAATACAAACACTTTGTAGACTTTAATAATGTCTAATTGTTCATTCACAATCCCACAAAGAATTCTCTATGATTGTGTATTGGTCCTAAACCTAACGATCTGTTTTAAACGTGTTTAACAGTCTGAAATATGTTTATTATATATATTTTTTTAAACGGAAATATGCCTTAGAAACTCAATGTTACATGATTTAACTAATATATGATGCAAAATGTTTGCTCTAATGCGATTATATAATTTTTTTATCACTTCACATAACTAGCGAAAGTTGTACAGAAATTTTTCTTGTTGTTCTATATTACTATATTTTGAGTAGCCTTATAGACTTGATCGAATGAAAAATGCTGTCAATTTAACTGGCAAAGTTGTCTAATTTTAGTATATTTTTATTATCTGTTTTTAATATCCATAACTAAAAAGAGACAGTAAAACGATCTCAAGTCAGTCAGTCATATATATACATTTTGTAATTTAACGTATTTTGTATAACACACAACACACTGTTATATTAAGTTACCTAAGCGATAAGAGTTTTTTAGAATATTAAGAAGGAGATCTATAATAATGTCAAAGAGATAATGTCAAATCACACTTTAGCCTCTTTCTTTTTAATTCACGTTTGGATCAATAATAAAATTATTAGATTACAAGTAAAGCTATTCTTCTGTAATCTACCTTAAATACCATCGTGTTTTAAATATTGACGCTATAGGACACGAACCTCCTACGATTGCTGAGAGTAGTAATTGTATTATTATTATATAAAAACTAAAATATTAATGAAACTAAACTATGGAAACAACTCAGCAACAGTATTTCCGAATAGATAAAACATTGAAGCCCTTGAAAAAAAAAGCATTATCCTTTCTTAAAGGCAAACAACACCTACAGTTTTTGTAATGTTATGGGCGGCGATAACCACTTACCATCATGAGTGCCGCATGCTAGTTTGCTCCCCATGTTATAAAATAAAAATCACATCTAATTTCTTCTAATCTCTTTTCAGGGAAAGACTTATACAATTACTAGCACTGAAACCCTTCAAGAAGCCCGAATTGTATGCAAGGCTTAATAGTGGTGAGTTATCTACCATATACTTAATGTGGTTAGTTAACAATGAAAGTGAACTTAGTTCATACTCGGTATGATATTACAGAGGGGATCAAGGAGAGGGAACGCAGTCTGGTGAACAAATTTCTGCCTCAGATAGCCACGCTGAAGGACAATTGTTATCATTTACGTAGACACATATGGAATGACGTCAACGAAGATTGGCCATTCTATTCAGAGGAGGAAAAGCGTACGCTGAAGAGGTAATTTACATGCATGCATTATTGTGTTATTGCTATATAGTATTTTTCCTGTACAACTGGTTTGGATTACGTTGTACATAGATTAATTATTATTACCGCTTGTGCTAGAAATTACATAGCTGTAATACCGTCAGTGCTGTTTGGTCTCGGCATAAAATGGGGCTACCCTTCTCCCGTGGGTGTCGTAAAAGGCGACTAAGGAAACTTAATGGTCAAAGGATGGGCAGCGCCCCTTTTAATATATCGCCAAAGCATAGTGTTTGCCAAGCTTGCCAATCAGTTGTCAACCCACTTGCCAAGCATGATACTGGCATAATCCCCCAAGGGGAAGGCCTATGTTCACCAGTGGACAATTAACGATTGGTATGATGAAGATTGCCCTTTAAACCGAAAAGTAATAATATAATAGCACACACATTACAGTCTTAGAATTAAACAGATAAGAAAGCGATATATACGTGGATCACACGTAACGATCACCAGTACAATATGTAATATTAGCCCTCATTTTCACCTTTTTGTGTAAATAACTGTCACTGATGATGATGAATTATCATTATATGATTAAATAAAAATTTAATTTGGACGACAACATTGTCTTATACATGTTTATACCATTGTACTTATTGTTAATTTTAAACTTTTATGTTGTTTACAAATATTTGACTTGTACTTATATTTCGTTGGAAACGCAGTATTGTGCAGGTGACCACTGGTGCGTCGTTTAAACGAAATAAAAATAAAAATGTACAGGCGGAAACCTCAAAATTTAACACCGCCGCTGAGCAGCGACTCGGCGCACTCGCTGTCGCCACGCGCGTCGCCCGGCGGCGGCAAGCGGCCGAGCACGGGCGCCGCCGACGAGTTGCCGGCCAAAAAGCAGCGCATTTCGCACTACCGCCGCCAGTCGCCGCCCTCCTCGGGCTACGCCACCACCTCGTCGGGCGAGCGGCACGCGTCCGACAACGAGGATGACAGAACCACGGGTAAGCCTCCGCCGCTATTTACACCACCACTGAACACTGCCACTTTGAAGAGATCGATGCCGTCATGTGATCGTAGTACGTTGTTTCATTACAGTCTATGATCTGGGAGGTTAAAAAGCCCACACATTACATGAATTAAAATAGGAATTGCATTTTATAACTCATATGTATGTTATGTGATTAAAATTTAAATGCCGTTAATATTATGCCGTCAGCGCAAGAAGCCTCTTAAACTCGGCAGGTTATGCAAAACACCCTGATCAGTCAAGTACGACATAGTAAGAGACGAAGGAATTCTTTTCATACTCGTATATGTATTGTATGTCTATCGTTTATGTATTATACATGAAACTAAAAATTTATTCACTAAATATCCTACGACTAGAATAAACCTGTATGTTATGTACGTTCTCTATATATTAGTTTGTAAATATATAAAACGTTTTATTTGCAGTGAAAAAGGATAATGGCTACACCCTCAACTTTACCACTGTTAAGGAAATCTGCGCCAGTCCCGTTAAAACGAATGGCTTTAGAAATAGTCCCCCTGTAGAGCAAACTAGTAATATCACAGGTTTGTAATTTTATTATATTACTTTAATTATGCATTTTGTTCAACTTCTTTTTTAAGAAGAAAACAGTATTTTCATTTGTGAAATTTCAAATGGTTGTTAATCAATTTTGAAAGTTTGGCTTGAGGCATAGATTAGAGACAAATTTTTAACTTATAAAATTATAGAATCCTCTATGTATAGACCAAAGTGAAAGGCATGACTTGAATAGTAGGTCATTAAATGAAACTGATCAAGCGCCTAATACTAAATCTATACACCTAATATTATCATAAATTATATGTCGTTGGCATAGTTCAAATTTTAACTGTTTTTTTTTTTCAAACTTTTAGTGCCATTGTTGAATTTTTGATAAACTTCGATTTACTATTACATATTTATTTTATTCGTCGGTAATATCAAATACATTTTGTAAAATGTCTCAAGTTTCTAGTTTACAATTCGTAATTAATAATATATTAAATAAACCGTTGCTATAGAAAATATTTTTCCTTTACAGTAAAAGACATCACTAATACGGAACCCTTAGAAAATACAGAATTGCCGTCCGTACCCGACGACAAATTGACTGAATCGGCTGACATTGAAAGGTAAGAAGAATGTCAAACAAATACAATTCTTATTTGCATAGTGTCACTGCCAACGACTGCATAAGTTGGCCCTTTCACAATCGACCTTCGAGTTAATGATCATCGTTAAATAAACATAGGAAGCAATTTATATTGATCTCTGGAAGACATTTTAATTGGAGTAGGTATCGCAGTGGTAGTTTGATTATTGATATGCTTATTAAAAATTTATTCGAGAGAACAATTAACACAAAAAAAGATAAGTGAAACGCAAAGTATATTACACAAATTCGAAAGAATATTTATTTTGACATCGTTTTATATTGATAAATCACTGTTCTTCCATATCGGTACGTGCATATAAAACCTTTTTAATAATATAACAAATTGAAATGACTACAGCGTTTTTCCAAAGTTGGTTCATTTACTTATGGCTTTGATTTCATAGGCAATACCCGCCTATAACAAGTTCGAGCACGCGGCGCGCGTACAAGGACGAGTTCGCGGCCCTCTACAAGGAGTATCGAGCACTGTACGAGCGCGTTGCACAGGTGGCCGCGCTGTTCACCCAGCTCGAGCAGCAGCTAGACAGCTTCCCCAGGCACTCGCCTGACCACCAGGTACTGTATTGTGCATACCTAGCCACTACTTGTTCATACACCACGGCTTGGCTATCCTGTAAATGTATTCATTACCAAAAGTATTAATAATTTTAAGTAAAATTTATTTTCATTTTTCATTATCTTATTATTTATTGTGTACATATTATCTCATTTATTTGAAGTGATAATTTCAGAAACTTAGCTCAAAGTCCAATTCAGCTAGATCATTAATCGACGATTCCGTTTGTGATAGGAATATCAACATGTAATGATTAAATTAAAAAATCACTATATTGAGATCACAGACAGCATGTCTTGAATATCATACACTTTACTCGCCGTAATTTTTGTTACATTTTTAAGAGTAAATAAGCCAGTCTATGTAGCCCAAGGATTTCCGATGTAATCCTTAATATTCATGATAATTTCCTTAATCGAAGTTTGGTTATACACGACGCCTATTTGCCACTGTAATAGAATAAAAAAGTACCTATAAAACATCCAAAATGAGGCCTGATATCTCGAAATCTTCTTGAATGACTAAAATTAATGGTACCATTTTCATCATTGTATTTGGTGATGAGAATAGTGCTTATTTTAGCGTTAATCATGTCTCTATTATTCGTTATGTTACGTCTCGAACAGATGCGAGATTGGATACTCCCGTCCACCCTAAGGTTGCCGGAAAATATTGCTATTGAGCGATAAGGCCGTCCAATGTTGGATGTTTACCTTTTTTTTGTAATGCTGTTTTTTCTTAACGATATTACGGTTTCTTTCCTTTAAGTGAAAACATAGATATTATTTTTAATATATATATATATATATATTATATTTTTTTTTTTTATTATTAAGACGCTAACAAAATTTAATTTTCAAACAGAGCATAGAGCTACGTATCCAAGAAGAGTACCGTCGAGTAAGCAAAGATACGGAGTATCAGCTCGAACGGCGGCGCGTAAACTTCCTTCACCGCAAGCTCACGCACATAAAGCGGATGGTTGTTCAGTATGACAATCTGGTGAGTTTGTCACACGACCATCTGAATAAGGTACCCTCTCTTCTTTAGAATACATAGTTAGATGACTTTAGTAGTGCTAATTGTATTTTTATCGTAAAGTCACCAGAGGAAGACTTTGTACAAAAGTCGATTGCTTGGGTACCGCTGTCCCATTCTTGTTTCTACCGTGAAGCAGTTGTGTTTGCATGGCTGTGTTTCGGTTTGAAGGGTGGGATATGGCGTGAATTTACTGGGTACAGAGGAATAACACTTGAGTCCTTGGGAATGGCAACGCATTGGCGGTATCATGGGCGAAACAGTATACTCTGTTATATCCTTGGTACTGTTCATGTCTATAGGCGACGGTTACCACTTTCCATCAGGTGGGCCGTCAGCTTGTTTGCCATTCTATGTAGTATAAAAAAAAAGTAATTGTCCTTGCTTAGCTGTGATTCATTTTGAAGGGTGAGATATGGCAGTACAATTATAGGGTACGGAGGTATCACACTATAGTCCTTAGGAATGGCAACGCATAAGTAACATGGCATTCATCATAGTGTATTTTGTAATGTTTATTATGCTGTACATACATATAGGCGACTGTTACCACTTACCATTAGGTGCACCGTCAGCCTGGTTGCCATTCAATAGTAGTATAAAAGAAGCACCCTCAGGATGTTATAAACAGATTTTTGAAATAATCCTCATGATAGATTTGCTTTAGTAGAATTGCAAAGACTGATAAGCGATACTGTAATATTTTTTTTTTTTTTTTTATTAATCTTATAAAACTACAAAAAGTACAAAATTTAATATCATACTTTGTTATTTAAAAATATTTACACTTTGAGCTGAGTAATTTTCTACAGTAAAAAAACGATATTCGTCTTTTATGACCGATTGATTAGCTTATTTGTAAATATTACATTAAATCCAACGCAATTTACAACGTTGTAGGAGAAAGCTAATAATATTGTTGTAAGAATAGACTCATGCCCAATAGTAGGAAGCTTAGTGGGTTTTTATGAATGGACTACTTCTGTATTACTTCTACTATTGCACAATATAGTCGACAAATAATAATGAAAACCCGAATGGATAAATAAACATTTATAAACATCAAAATTAGTAAATATTGTTTACGTATTGCTAATAAGTTAATTGATAACACAATATCAAGATCACGTCACTATCATTAAACTGGCATCAATGATAAGACGTTAAATCGTCATGGAATTGTCACAAAAATAAATATTTTATTTATTATTACTTTTTTGGTCGAAAGGCAAATTAAAGCAGTAAATGTATTTTTGTGTTATATGTTATAACTTTGTTTCAACACGTAGCCAAATCTTTAAAGGAATATAGGTTTTTGCATTTAAATATAATGTATAAAATAATGTCATTAAATTTGTCTGAACAGTAAAAATGTTACATGTGACTGTACGACAACTGTCTAAAACAAATACAACTGTCATAAATTATCATAAAACTGAAATTCTAATTCCAATTTTAATATCATTTTTTTACTATTCTTTTTTACGTATTTTTGATTAACAATTCTCTATGTAGATAATAGCATTGATCGAATATACTACAAGCTGCTTACCACAACTGGGTAAATAAGTTTGTAACCTATATATTCACTTTATTGCTTTTTTTGTATTTTATGCAAATACCGCCTGCAAGTATATTATATTAGCAATGCCCGCTACTTTATCCGAGTGATAGTAGGAAGCCTACATCGTACTCTATACCAGATGTTATTTATAAACCAAATTTTAAGAGGTAACTTCTGTAAATTATAATAAATATAGTAAAGATTTTACAATAATAAAACCGGTTTTCTCATAACTATCTAAGGAAATCTTGGCCTAAGGCTATCTTGCTGTGTGTGTGGAGGTCATAATGTCATTTTTTACAATTTCAAGTCTGTACAAACACATTTAAAGGATTATGGCGATATACCAGTAAGTTAAAAACATCAACAGAACCGATAAAATATCAAACCTCGTAATCTCAGTAACTTACCTCGTGTCTCGCAAACTTCAATATGAACGCTGCTACCTCACTCATACTGAAAGAAATATTATACATGTGGTATTAAAATAAGAATATAAAATTACCAATGAATGTCGTAAAGCAATTTAAGAGAACAAAGTACATTAAAACTCTGCTCTCTCTAAATAAACCCCCTATTCTTTTACCAAACCAACTTTATCGAATCCAGCAGTAGTTTGTAAAAAATATAAAATTACTTCCAACTTATTTTGTCAATAATAAATTATGTTATTATTTTGTCTATAATTATACCAAAAGTATGATGTTTGGTGTTTCATCTGTTTCAATACCTACACTACTTTATTTTGTTGAATATATTTATTTTAAATGTATGTTTATATCAATAAATGAGCGGTAGTAAAAAAGAAGTTTACAAAAAAATCCTATTCAAATCTATAGGCGACGGTGATCCACTCATCATCAGATGGGCTTACTTATTTAGCTATTCCAATACAAATAAAGAAAAGCCTTTTATATAAAATACACCAATAAGAAACGAGTTATTATGCTTTAAATTGACTTTCATTTTTATCTTTCTCAGCGCAACCTAAAACCGGAACGAGTTCCAACGGCGAGCACGACACAAGCGTACTGACACTCGAGTAATTCGCCGCCCGCCCGCTGCCTATAGTCTTTGCACTAACTGCAACAACCATCCACACTCAACTGGACATACTACAATAGATGTACACCGGAAATAATCCGTCGTCCCGAAATGACCCATCCGTTTCACAAGTAATCTCCGCCGCTACGATACGGTTCGGTTGTATTCGGAATGACAAAGATTACCCGAAGTACATCGGTTAGGTTTGACTGTACAAAACTCGTGCAAACAAACCGCATCGAAACGTACGTTGTCTATTTCCTGTTAGTTTCGTACTGCCTTCTTATATGCCTTTCTATCAAAGATTTATATTTATCATAGTGAATTATATGAGGCTGTGTAAACAGTAATTTCATTAAAAACTTTTTTGATGCAGTTTTTTTGCTATTGAGTATGTAACAATGTCTCCCGTAAAGTGACAGACATATTCAAAATGTAATTGTAGGCCTTGCACTGTTTTGTCTCAATTGTTCTGTAAAGGCCACAATGACTTGTATGTATCTATTATTGTTTAATTTTACTTCGAATGTTACATGTACCAATTATATATTTGTGTCATGAAAGGATGCTTTAATTCTTATGAAAACAACATTTTATAAATTATATTACTGTTGCATTATACAACAGACCATGGTCTAGATAGTTGAATGTTCTAGATTATCTGTATCATAATTAAGGGCAATAATAAAAATATTAAGGTAAGCAACCATTCGTTATGGTAATCTATAGAGGAGACTTATGATCAATATATTGTTTTAAATGACGATGATGAAACTATCATGACCATAATATGTAAATACAGTTGTAAATACTTTTTGAATAAAATAAAAGAATAATGCGTGTACTGTAAATGAGTATAAATATCAATTACATTATTTTTGAATCGCAATTCTACATATTAATTCTGAACTCTACACTGATTCATCAAAAATATTTTAATTTATTAAATGATTGTTTAACTTACGCGTAATTAGTTCGATCGCCACAGTCAGGCTCGAGCTTGTGTCACTACCGCTCGTGATTATGGATCTCGAATTGTTCCCGAAAGTACTCGAGCTTTCTCGATCTAATTACACGTAAGTTAAACCGTTAGTTATTATATTAAAATATAATGTACGCTTACGAAACTTTTAACAATAAAATTGTCCAAAATAATTAAAGTCTTGGTGTCCACAAATAAAGACTTCAAATCATAAAAAAAAATATAATTACAGTGAACACTCTATATAATCTCTATAAGCAACATTCTTTATATTTTATTTATTCTACTCAGCTTAGTAAAAGAAATAAGTTAAAATATTTTCCGGACGGAATTTTTATATTCCTTTTTTCCCTATACGCAACTTTTCCCAATAAGAATTGTTTTATTGAAAGTTGCTTATATAGAGCCTTCATTGTATTAAAAATTAACTAAACTTTTTAATTTATTGAAAATTCTTGAACAAGTCCTGTAATATTAGTACAATAAAGTGTTAAATAAATAAAAAAAATTAACAGGATTAATAGTACATCATTTTATATGATTGTTTGCCTTAATTTTTTTTTGTAATCGAACCCAAAAATAGATGCATTCTTTCATGCACACATTATATTATTGTCAACTTTTTAAGAAAATATCAACATACAGATAAGAGTATATTTTATAACTTATGATTATTATTTTGATAAATCACAAAATATATACAAAATAAGATTATATGTAGTATTTATAATTTGGAAGTAGAAGTTGATTAAGATTTTATTTGTGGATGTTTGAGTTAATTCTAGAGACTTATTTCTTTTCGTCGTCTTAATAAAAATTTAGTTGAAGTTGCCAGAATGTCTACATGAACACCATAAAATTCGATACGAAGTTTCAGAATCGAAAGAAATTAATTAGTCACCAAAATATACTTTCAAAGGGGCATTCTATATCTTAGTGCTAATATGTCTAGTTTTAGATACTAAATTCGAATTAGAAACATCGGAGATACGTTTTATACTGAACCCCCAGTTAGTTTACACAAATAAAGTATACAGCTAGTTAACACGGACATCCATGAATAAATAGCCTGTTAATGAACTTGAAAACTATCTTATATATAAATTACGACCAATGTTGCCGCACAGGCGGTCTGCCAATTTGGCAAAATAAACATTGAGGAGGCTGACTGAACATGGTTGAGGCGATTCATTCTCTGTTATTGTAGTTACTTGGCGTATTATTTAACAAATAAGTTTTATGCTCTTCCATTATTTATATTGATATTGCCTTGACCAAAATTATTGACAAAGTCTCTTAGAGAGAAAATCTACGCCTAATCCCGGACATGAGGGCCCATACTGAAACAAATATTAATATTTTTCATAGTAACTATGTAGTGTATATTATGTATATTACTCGCTTTCCGACCAATTTGATTTTTCTGCGTATAAGTATACTTAATATTTTATAATTTTAAATTATAAAAAGAATCTTTATATTGTAAACTTATATCCGAATTTACATGAAAAAAAAAAAAACAAGCCAGGTTATTGCTATGTATTTTTTAAATAGTCGCAAAAAACAGTTTGTGACAATTGCAAATACGGCGTCACTCTATAGAATATAATGAAATTTATCCTCCCTAAATATGACTTAATAGTCCGATTAATTTTATAATGTAAATAATATGTATGTAAATCTGTTTATAATTAAATTATCAATATATAATAGTCCAATATTAGATTCATATTTGTTCGTCCACATTTTATTCCATTTGAAAGTATTGCCGTCTGAAGTTAATGTTATCCAAAAAATTGCTTATACTGAACGCGAAATTATTTTTACTATTTCTCTTTTAACAAGGCCAAACTGTATATTAAAGATAGTCAAAATATTAATCAAATCAATTTTGAATGTCAACAATTTTTTTGAGCAGCACTATTTTGGCCTTTGATGTACATTTATAGCGCCCTTATATCTAATGTTTAATCAGATATCGTCCCTTTAGCTTCTAAACAGTCCATCCATATTTTAAATGTTGGACGTACTTACATTATATTTTGTTTATCTTGCCGAACTTGCATGTTTGTATATAGTAGCATCTTAAAAAAAAAGATTTTATCATGTTCTTTGTTAAATTTTTTATGGGTAGTGTAATATTTTCAATTTTCTTTTAAAGTTATTTAATTATTTATTCCGTATATTGGCTATGTCGTGTAATTGCCGTGAAAAGATCTTGTAAATATCGTAACGGCTTTAACAAGTAACTCATCAATGTCACAAAAGAAACTATAAAGTGATTGACGGTAAACGTTGTTAGTTTAAGAATGTACGCGGTATAACACGATTGAGCTGATACGAGAAAAATGAGCATAGAGTTTGCGAAAAAATAATTTTTAATAGCCAAATAAAACGTCTTGAAAGTTAGCAACAACCGGCCAGTGTAAAACATCCACTAGGAGTAAGAAATTATTCTGGTCCTCTTCGGAAAAACCCTCCAGAACACAATAAAGTTTAGTAATTTTAGTCTGCATTAGGGCCAGTTGACGTTCTTATGAAATATTTCGGTTTGAACTGATTCAATCGGTCCAAACTAGAAGTTACTCTAATTCGAATAAAACTTAGTAGTTCATACCTTTATTATGTCCAGGGAACACTAACACAGTTCCCACCCAGTCCCTGGCCCAAGTGTGTAAAACCGTCTTACATAATTTGTCCTATAATTAACGTCCATGTATTTGAAAATGGTTTTAGCATTAAGTAATTCTGATTTTTATCATGAATGCCGAAGTCATTTTGTCCAATATTTCCAATGCAGAATATGATCAAGATCGTCCTTAATCACTATAAATGTCATTTTTAAAATTTTGTTCACCTAATGTATAATATTACTTTGTTATTATTAAATACGTATAATGAAATGTATAATAGTAATATGTAAACATTTTACATAGGTTTACAAAACCTTGTTGAATACTGTTATTTCAGTTAATTTTTGTCAATTAATGTGTCAAATACCGTTAATTTTATTTCTCATTAGAAATCGTCAATTGTTTTATGTATATTATATACAAAAATCGTAGAAACATTCATTAAAGATGTCAAGTTATTTGGTCAATTCACAATTAAGTGTCATTTTGTTGCTCATAGAAAGTTTTTGTGGTTTTTTAATAGCTTTTTACTCATTAAAATGCTCAATACTGTGGTCATGATATTAGAATTAAATTTCGCTTTGCATTATAATTTATTTCTTTATTTATTCATCCAATATACAAAATATTTACATTTGGTTTACAACGGGTTGTTGTCAAAATTATGTATACGGTGCAACTGTGATCAACCGTTGTGAACATAATTCTAACACATGCGTGGTTTGCTATACATGTATTACGGAGTTAGGAATCACATTGTTTTGTATTCGTATATAATTTCTTTTTGACAAATTGCTTGCCCCTACACGCACACTATAAATTTACAATTATGATTAAAATTTAAACTGATTTGATACGAACTCATAGTTAATGTTATTGTTACCAGTAGTTTAAGCACTATCGATTGTTTTAATGTAATATTGAGTAACGTTTGCAAGTTACTGATTATATTGTTTGTCATGGAGATTTCTTATGTTAGTTTTGGGGAAGTTGTTAATAATTGAAGTGGCATATTATGAATGATGCATTCCATTCGTCTGAACCGTTGATTTAGCACTGTTCATCGTCGCACCCGTTACGTGAGTAGGGTAAAAGTAAATTATATTTTTACAGGCATTGAATATCAAGTAGGGGAAGATCTAAAATCTGTTCGGTTTTTTATATGAGACAACCATCTTTATGCTCATGTTGTCTCAAGTTTTATTAGACGGCACATTGTTTAGACACGTATTTACAATTTCCTGACCACTAAAATATATGTAACTAATATATATTATTATATGAAATGATAAGATATCCCTATCTAATGTAATTAATTCAACATTTATATAGTATAATATACTGTCACAAAGGGAGTAAAATGTTACTCGTTTGTTACCGAATAAGTTATTAGGATGTTTGGACATAAATATTTGTATTTTGTCATGTTTATACAAAGGAAAAAATATCTCAATGAAATATCATAGTCCACTTTGTACAGCATAGACTATATTTAGAATCTAGTGACGTCATCTTCTCTTAAATCCTAGTTAGTGATATAATAGAAGTACTAATTTCCAAATATGTATCATTCTTTGCGGCATGACAAACTGGCCACACTTGTTGTTTTTATATGTTATGTTTGCCAAGTTTTTAATTAAGTGAATATCAGTCAGGTTGTGTTGACCCCGTATTTTAATCTAAACAATGAATTTGGCCTATTTTATTTGATTTAAATATGTATGTATGTTATTCGAGTGGCATTTTGTCATGCCCAAACCTAACACGTTATATTACTTAATATAGCTGATATTATAGCGGCTTAAGGCGGGCGTACATGATTTTTACCTTATTTTAATTTTTAGATGTAGATCTTTGAGTTTGTATGCTGATCAAATGTTATTGTAAATTTGCTGTACAGTAATCGGTGGTCTGCCGCCCCCGCGCGTCTGGGCTCGACATCGTTCTACCAAGACTGTCGATTGACCGAACAATTGAATATTATGTATTATGTCAATGTAAATAGAGTACGAATTAGAAATTTAGACACGTTAAGAGATATAATCGTAGCGTTTATTTTTATTTGTTTACTATTATGCGAAAAGGGGGGAAATAAATTAAAAGGGATTGTTTTGTGTCGGTGCGAGCCGATAGCGCGGCGGCGGCTTCTGCGTTTCGACGCGATGTAACAATGCTGCGATATTCCACGTGCCCCTCGAAATATCAGTGCATTATAAATATGAGTCAAGATGTATAGACAATGCGGTAGTGTTAATGTGTATAGATGCGTTATATAAGCTCGAGTCGGGCGGACGAGAGACCGAAACTTACCAGCCGGTTCGAGCGAACGACGACTAGCTATGAATCCTGACATCGGCTCACGTTAATTAGCTTTTAAATATTTCATCAAAACATAAAATAAACAAAAAAAAATGGATATAAATTTCTCGACCAAGTACTGGTTGTTTTTAAATTATTAAAATGTAAAAAAAAATTAGAGTATAAACAAAGTATAGGTACAATTTATGAATTATACTTTTCTTTTCGGCGTTTCCTGTGACAGTGGAAGAGACTTAGCCTTTATGCTCGAGAAGTTCATAATTTGAACAAAAGATAACATACTATTTGGTATGAATAGCCTTACAGTCAAATGTTACTTATTTATAATTTCATTTGCTCATGTCCTCTTCCATTGCTTTTTATTTTTGTTTGTCGACTATGTGTATAGTATGATTTTGTTAAGGCAGGGTAATGCAGACATGAGAAGAGGTACTTTTTTTAATTTGAATGATTTGTTTGAATGTTTAAATTGAGTTGATTTTATCCATTCAATGGAATTGTATTGTTAAAAGGGAGCCAGAGTTTGTTGTTTTTTATTAAGTAAAAAATTAATTTCGATTGTAAATGAGGCAGCAGAGTAGTTAATGATTAACTATCAAGTTACCACAGAATCCATAGTCAGAGGTGAGCTCTCTTTGGCGTTGCCCTTTCAGTGCAAGCTTTGATAGGTGGCAAACACAAGCCGTCTGCCGTACGTGAAAGTTGTAAGAATAGTCAGTATTACATCATGCAATAAATATGAGCTAAAGAGAGGTTGTGAAGAGTATCGTTATAAAAGGTACCTATTCAAATTTGGACAAACAGACTAACTTAATCATAAACAATAGATAGTGTTGCTGCAATGTGCATTTATGCCATCTTCATTTAAATTTGAATTATGGGATCAGTGCCAAACTTTCACCTTATGTTTTAGCTCAAAATTATGCAATTGTTAGCATGCTTGAAGAATCAGCTAAGTAATTGTTTAGTTAGTCTGCCATTTTGTGAATATTTGTTTCGATAGTAATATGTAAATCTTTTATAATATATTTGTTTACAATAAATGACAACATTATAAATAAATGAAAATGTATTTTCCATTTAAACTGATGAAAAAAATATAAAAAGAATAATATGCAATGATATTTGTAGTTTCATTTATTTACCTTAAAAGTAAATTTATTTCCTTCAAACTAAATTTGTATAAAATTGGTATCACTCCTATTTGGCAATGCCAGTGCCACCATCACACCTTCATGGATCTAGATTTTTATTATACAATCGAATGGGCATCGGGTGTTATTTAACGAGTTTACTAGTATGTCTCTCAAAACTACCATTTTAAATTACTTATTAGTAGTGAACTATAAAATGATAATATTTATTATAAACTGTTTATTACCATAAACTAGATTTTCAAAAATATGCTCACGTAGTGTTAATGATTGAAGAGCATATTTGACTTGCCTAGTAAACTCCTTTATAAAAGTACTAGTTTTTACGCACGACTTCGTCCGTGTGACCGGAATAATAAGCCTTATCCATGTATAGTAGGGGTGGGAAAGGGATTGTTAGCAATGGCCCCAGTTCGACAGCCCCATTTCTAGCAATATGCCTTATTAGGTCGAACTCCACGTGGTTTCCCCTGGAAACCATCGTGAACAATTCTTGTTGAAATCGTCACGATGGGCTAACTGACCTACTTCATCTATTGTATATATCTTCACCTATCATCCTTCACCGATGCCCGCCGGTGTATACCGATAGCGCGGGTGGGGGTTACCATTCCGTTATCATCCATTATAAAAAAAATCCCTGTATAGGATGTAATATATATCAAATATCATTTTACACATTTTTTAAAGCGCTACAAGCTAATAATGGATTAAAAAAAAAGGATTATTAGAGAATTTGGAAATCACCTTAGATTTAGTACGTAATTACATTTATACTGTCTTGAAATCACAATTCACGGACCACTTGAGGTGGATTTTTTTTTCAATAAAAATTGAATTATTTTAATTATTGTTTGTCTTTTGTGCTATTGTTTTATATAAATATAATATTAATGTAGATATGTACATATTCGTTCTTGAGTGGCGATCCCATACGGCAATGTCAAACGACCCTGGATGGAGTGACGACCTCAAATGCATTTCATGGAGTCAATGGATGCAGGTGACTCAGGACTGTTCCTTATGGCAGTCTATGGGGAGCGGGGGCTGGGGGGGGGGGGGGGGTTGTTACTAATGGGATTTAAAGACTTCATTAATATACCCTATCAGATTGACCCAGATATGACCTACCTACTCGCGGTTTCTCCTGGAAATCCATAATTAATTCTTTTGAAATTCATCACCATGAGCTAATTGACTTGTTTTCATCCTCACGTATCATCTATTGTGCTCCGCTAGTGTATACCGATAGCATAAGCATGGCTACACTTCATTTTCACTCATTAAAAAAAATCTATGTCCAGCGGTAGATGGATAATAGAGCTAAAATGATGATGATGATGATGATGCAGGCTTTTATTAAGGATACAGGATTAACCGATTATTTGTTTATTATAGGTTTGTTTGTGTCAGGAGATATTTAATTTTTTTTATTATTTATTAAATAATTAAACACAACTATGTCAAAATACGTCATTGCCTAAGTAAATAGAAGAACATTAATAGAAATAAACGAGCTAACAATAAGTTAACCTGTTTTTAAGACTCGATGTTCTATCGATATAATCTAGGGAACCACTATATAGTTAAAAAAACATTTAAGATTTTCTAGATTTTTTCCTAATAACCTCTTTTACGGTATCTTTAATCTATGGCCACTCATGTAGCTACCGCTACATTTTATTCTTATTCTACGCTATTATTAAATACCACAATTTGCTTAATATTTGTGTATATAAATTGGTTCATTATAGCATGAAAAATAAAATTAAGTTCACATCGATAGATTTTTTTTATTGTTTCAAGGTATTGACGACAATCAGCAATAATTATCTTCCTACCTTCTTAGGACAATCAGCAATATTATTTAAAAAAACAATGTCTATAATTGAAGAAATAGTGTTTAAAATCTATGTACAAGATGTACAATAACATTCTACTGGTTACTGAGCTGTCAGTGTCAAGTGTCAGTCAATTACACTTCAAGTAGTGGTGTACCGAGTTAGCTGTTAAGATAATCGAGAATTTAAGTACATCTTCATTTATTTACTCATAAATAAATAATTATAACACTAAAACAGCAAAAGCCAATCAATGTTATAAATCTAATGTGCTAACACATGCAAAATTATAATAAATGTATTTAACCCAACTCTAGATATTTCTGAGCCGCTTCTAATATCTTTGGCAGGAAACTATTAAATATATCAATGATGTTTATAATATTATTTAATAAACGTACTGTGTAAGTTAAGGAAGTGTGCTGTGTAGGTTAGTTCTTACTGGCGGGACATTAAACGTAGCCGAATGACGGCGCGCTATAACATAAGCATTCGGTACTCACAGTTGGACTGTTTCTAGCACTTGTGGGTAATGTATCCCACCCTCGTAACACACTTACAACATATTTTACGAGAGCGATTATATTATATTTAACCTCATGGGGATTCCATATCATCGCATTCGTTTCGAGGTGACTGCTTACGAGCGTCTCAAAATAGTATTATTATTTATAATATTTAATATATATATGTTACTGTAGGATAGTATGTTTTCATTGTAATTTAACTACGTAATTCTAAGTTTACATTTATATGATATATTCTTCAGCAATATAAAGGTTGTAAGCCTTTTAGTAAGAAACAAAAATGAAGCACAAGTTCTCAGAGTTCATTTATTTTAGATATCGTACTATTAAATCATATATTTACTTATTTTACTGTATATATGATATATAACAAATAATATAACATGAATACCCAACTTTTGTTGATCCATTCAAACTTTGTTAACTATAGTTTCTTTAAGATTTCTATTATCAATAATTGTGATAAATTTTATATAATGACCACGTGGTTTACTATACTTGTTCACTCTTGATACGGCAGGAAGATCCACTCTGTTCAACGGTTGGACAAGAAGTGCCTCCACACCCAAATAACAATCTTTTATATCTACAGGGCCGAATTCGAGTAAACAAGTCAGCGAGACCACGTGTTCTTATAATTTCATTATTTTTTTTTTTCAAGTATCATGATAGTAAATAATTTATAAAATCAATTAAAATATAAATTAGTGTTTTATATACATTACAATAATAATTCATTACAATATTTGGTATAAGTAATAACAATTTTAATATTTTATTATAATTAAAGTAGTTGATCTGATTTTATTAATAAATGTAGGTACACATTTTGACACAAGATGTTTAAGAAAATTACAAAAAAAATTTTTTTTAATACATTTCCATACCAGAATATTATTTTTTTTATTGAATGTTTATTATTAAATCTAATCAATTTACTTCTGAAGCTTGCTTTTAATTAAGTCAATCGATGGTCTGTCAAATAATCAATAAAAGAGTAATATGTAAAATAATCAGTAATCTTTAAAAGAGTTCGCCGAGATCCAAATGAGACACGTCGAGATACAAGAGGGTGGCAAGAATCGAAGATATAATTATATATATGAGTTTCAGTGTGGACATCGCCGAAATGTTTTAGGAACCTTATACACTGGTGTAATCAATCTGGGTAATATCAAACCTGGTATGCACGACATCGAAATTGATAATGACTTACACTTCGTAAATGAGCTCATAATAGAGCTTAACGATAACAGCCTCTATACGGTAGGTTATGCGGACGATATAGCTATTATTTTTAACATGAATGTTCGAAAGCGAATAAGAGTAGCTTTTGAAATAATTGCGTAATCTTGAAAGATGAAGCTGTGGCCTATCAACGTTTAGAAATTCTCGGAACAGTGAGGTCGCTCTGTGAGGCCTATGGAAATCCAAGCAAGCTTTTGTGCTTCTGGGCGGAGCTAGGTTGGCTGTACTAGCCACGACTTAAACGATGGAAAGTGGTAACTGTCGCCTATAGACATGACAGAGTATACTGTTTCGCCCATGATAACCCCCCCCCCCATGTGTTTTCATTCCTGAGGACTCAGATATTATTCCTCTGTACTCTGTAAATTCACGCCATATCTATCAGAAAGAGACTTTTTATAAAAGTCATTTACTTAGACACCTCTGTCCTATTGACTAAATGTGTCTCGATTTGAAGGGTGGTATATGGCATGAATTTAAACCTTTAAGAAACCGGACTTCTCTGGAATATAATTTTAAATACGCCAGTAATTATCATGAATTCCCGCTTACATTCTACGGAACCCCAATTTCTTTTTTCATTAGTAAGGACTCCTTTTAGGTCGACGTCGTTTCTTAGGGATTTATATTGACATCTTTGGGTACTAATAGTTTAGATTTATTATGTATTCGAGGTTAAGTTGCCTTTGACAATTGGCAGTAGTTGGTACATCACTAGTGTCATGTCGGTCGGAGTGTTGAATTGGAATTCTTAACTGAGTTTTGTGTTCTTTATATTCTATACATATTTATTTTATAAGTGCTTTGAAAAGAAATATAATGATTCATTTCAAGGATAGTAAAAATAAATCAGCATTAAGTACAAGATGGGCTCAAATGTCGAAGCAAGAACAAATAATCGAGAGAAAAAAGATGGAGATCCAAGCAAAGTTGGAGGCTCAAAAGCAAGCTACTGCTCTCGCCGCTCAAGCTAAATTGTCAAAGTAAGCTTTCATTTGATGATCAATATTATAACTAACAGGTAGAAAACTATCAGTTTTCTACCTTAGGGGCTATTTAATTTTCTCATCCATAATGGTGTTACAATCGAGGCGTGGAGCAGAATTGCCGAAGTGCTGTTCTTTAAGAAGAGTGACAATACCCTATTAAAGAACGATAGAACATTATTCCTTTTAAATCGCATCTACGTACTGTTTCCGAGAGTTCTGATTAATTATCTTACGCGCAAAGTCGACGACTTTCAGCCACCTGAACAAACTGGCTACCTAAAGGACTTTAGCACCATATACCACATATATACGCTACGGCAAATTATATAGAAGATCAAACAGTATAATCCGCTTTTAAGTCGGGTATTTGTGGATTATGAGAAAACTTTTGATTTGTTTGAGACATGGGTGGTACTACAGTCCCTTCAGTGGTGCCAGATTGACTATAGGTGTATTGAAGAGTCAAAATATATGTATAGTAAGGCTACAATGTTCATCTGAGTAAAGAACCAGATAATGAAACCCAACCCTGTGTAGAAACAATGCCATCAGTGCTCTAAAAACAAAAAAAAAATTCGCAGCCACAATATTGCACTGTCTAGCTTTCCAAAATTAGGACTGGCTGGAGTATCTTGATAATTTTTATTCATCTTTATATAGATATTTTAAGGTTTTATAATTGTTGAAACATAAAAATTCCAACCAGTATATACTCCAGGGTAGGACAATTATTTTTTATTTTCCATTCTTTTTACATATTATTGTTTAAAATTACATTATTGATTGTGTTCCTACCGTAAAAGTCCTAATATAAACAATAAAACGGTCATACCCTGTGCCAGTTATTAATCCATTGGTTCTCAATTTTAATGAAATTTCTTTTGAAACTTAAAATTTTTTCTGACTCATAAAGTGGTGAAGTCTAGTTTTGTTTTTGATGTAACTAAAATGATTGAATATATGACATAATGTTTATAAAAGAGTTTTCATAGTTTTGTTGTGATTCATAATCTCATGGTTTCATTTTGCTCTCTTTGAAATATCTGTGTGTTATATAAAATATGATATGCTTTGTTTTTTGGAGCTAATAAGCCCCAAATAAAATTTCTGCTTAAAGTATTAAATTTACTTACAATTTACTCTATGGAACTGTGTAGCTTTTATTAAAGCAAACAGAAATTTTTATCAGGTCAAACTAAGATTTTTAATTGTAAATGTATGATAAGTCATATGCATAAATAGGTATTTATTCTAATCATATGTCCTCATATATCTTCATTTTCCTGGGATTTGATAGATCCTGCTAAATAAGATTTAGACTACATTGGATTTTCTTAATCAATTTTATTATTCAATTTTGATAATATCAATGTTATTTTATGCTTATTTTAGCCCTAAAACCAAGGATGAGAAAGGATCAAACAATATTTTCTCAAATGACGGCAGCTTTATGAGTCAATTTAAAGCTTTATTAGAGAAACAAAAACAGGAGAAACAGGAAAAAGAAAAGAAAGAGAAAGATAAATTAATTGATGATGAGAGAAAAGCAGAAAAAGCAGCAAGGATTAAAGAAGAAAATTCTCAGGATGACAAACAATATGATGAAGGCCATTTATCTTATGATGAAGATAGAAGGAAGTCTACAGATAGAGGCCAAAGGTAGGTAATAATTATATTGTTATATAACTTGGGTAGGGTTGCTATCGCTTTTAGTGTGGAGACACTGGTAGTCTGCAACAAGGCTATCTGGGGAATCTATGAAGTATTGTATGAAATTTGGATTTTAGTTTAGAAATAATTGTAATTTTTTAATAAATGGAATATGGAAATTGTTGTATAAATCACATTGTACATAAGTGTCTACTTTTTAGTCTGACTTTTTGTCTTAAGGCTTGACTATGCAACTCGTTAATAATACTCCTTTGAAATGGATTCAAATAGATGATTTTTGGATAAGGACAATGGAATAATAATGCAATACAATTCTATGGTGTGAATTATAACTAAAAATCTTAAATGTTACATTTATAATTGCAAAGTTGACCGTTTCAATCTGTTTTGATGATGTATAGTTATGAGGGTAGATCGAAATATTCGTGGCCTAACACATAAATACTTGAACTATTTTAATGTAACTGACCTCATTCGATTTGCTTACTCTCTGGTTGTCACATTGTAAAATTTTATCGCAATAGCATTATCTGTTTTTAAATTAGACTGAATTTTGTGAGCCTAAGTGCAGGGTTTTTAAAGAATGAAGAAAATTGAGCAACGTGTGGTCATCAAATACCTGTTTAAAAAAAACTAACTCCAAAAGAGATTCACGAAGATATGTCAACAACATTGGGGGAATCTGCTCCGTCGTATAGGACTGGGAAAAAGTGGGTTGCAGAATTTAAACGTCGACGAGAGAGTATTGAACATGACCTTCGCTCCGGCCCGCCTACGACGTCTACGAAGTACTCTATTGACGACAACATCGGGAAAATCTGTGATCTGATATTGGCAGATCGGAGATTGACCATCAGGGAGATTGCAGACACTATTGGCATCTCGTATGAACGAACATAAAACATCATAGTCAATGAACTTGGATTTCCTAAGCTGCGCGGTGGGTACCCAGATTGCTTTCAGTTGAACAAAAACGAATACGGCTCACGATTTCTCGCGACTCTTTGGAAATGTTTGAGGCTGATCCACAAGATTATTTGGCCAGATTTGTGACGAATGGATGAAACCTGGGTACACCTCAGAGTCATAATAGCAATCCAAGCAGTGGAAAAAACCTGATGAACTAACTTCAAAAAAATCCAAAGAAATTTTGTCAGCTGGCAAGGTGATAACGTCAGTTTTTTGGGATGCTAAGTGTGTCATCATGGTGGACTACCTTGCAAAAGGTGAAACTATAAACTTGGCTTACTACAGCACCCTTTTACATCGTTTGTGTGAAACAATCAAAGAGAAAAGGCCAGGATTACTTAGCAAGAAAATGTTGTTCCATCAGGATAATGCACAGGTTCATACGTCTGTTGAATCTGTGGCTCAAATTCGTGATTGTGGCTTTGTGAATTGCTGCCCCATCCCGCCTGTTTCCCTGATTTGGCACTTTTAGACTTTCATTTCTTCCCAAACCTAAAGAGACACCTTGGAGGTCAAAAATTTTCATCAAATGAGGAGGTTGAAGCTGCGGTGGATGACTTTTTTGGAGGCCTTAAAGAAACTTTTTTTATGACTGGCATACAGGCGTTGGAAACCAGATGGAAGAAGTGCATTGAGTTAAGTGGAGATTACGTGGAAAAATAAAATTACTTTGGTTTATATTTTATATTTATTTTCTTGCTGAGGCCGCGAACTTTTCAATCCATCCTCGTAGCAATTCAGTTACATAAACAAGCTACTTATTTAATTATATATTTATTATTTGCATAAAAAATACTGGCATTGTACAAAGTACTTTAAACATGACTAATAGTTTAAAATGTTTAACATAGGGAAAGACATCGAAGATGGAGTGACAGAGGTCGCAATCGTACACACAGTCCTATGACGCCTGTTATTGAAGACAGAAAGCAGCTTGTTGAAAATAAAACTATTATACCTTTGATGCAAATTCCTATTCGACCTCCGGATGATCAAAATAATGAATCTAATCTTAATGAATGGAGTAGGCAAGGAGGTCCTAATTCTGATGATGAGTCTGATAATGATAGGAAGTTGTTAGGCTCTGGTCCATTGCCACCTGGAATCATGGGTCCTGGACCAATGGGTCCTGGTCCTATGGGTCCTGGTCCTATGGGTCCTGGACCTATGGGCGCTGGTCCTATGGGTCCTAGCCCTATGGGTCCCGGTCCTATGGGGCCTGGACCTATGGGTCCTGGTTCTATGGGTCCAGGCTCCATGGGTCCAGGCCCCATGGGTCCCGGTCCTATGGGTCCTGGACCTATGGGACCTGGACCTATGGGACCTGGACCCATGGGTCCTGGTCCTATGGGTCCTGGCCCTATGGGACCTGGCCCTATGGGACCTGGTCCAAATATGGGTCCTAGACCTAACATGGGACCTGGTTCAAATATGGGCCCTCCACCAAATAATTTGGGTCCAGGCCCTATGATGGGTCCTGGTGGTCCTAATATGCCTCCGATGCCTCCAATGCCTCCATTTATGAGACCTAATTTTCCTATGCCACCCAATTTTATGGGTCCAAATGGTCCTAATGGCCCATGTGGGCCTGGTCCCATGCCCCCCAATATGTGTGGGCCTAATATGTCTGTCCCTGGGCCAAACGGACCTCCGTTTTTTGGTCCACCTTTTCCTAATCCTCCAATTATGGGTCCAAATGGCCCCCCTAACTCTATGATACCACCAAATTCAATAAATAATAATAATAGATCGTTTATGGGTCCTCAACCTCCCTTTGGTCCAAATGGGCCTAACTTCGGACCAAATGGAAATGGTTCTTCCAATGTACCATTTATGCCTTCTAATTCTATGGCATCAAACTCTGGGCCCCTGCATTCCATTTCCGAATCTAAGCCTTTAGACTCTGTTAATATTCCACCACCTGAACCCATGAAGCTTCAAAATATTCCTCCGCCTATGCCACTTCCTCTTAATCATATTGCAAAGTCAAAGGATATGGAATCTGGGAATATACCTGTACCACCAAACACATCGCAAGGTAAACATTCTCAACTCTTTATTATAAAAATGCCTTTATATTCTTATTTCTTTTTTTTTTTAAATAATTGTATAAAGGCCCTATTCTTATTTTTAAAATGTTACAAGTTCTCTGATATATACATATTTAGTTTAATGTTACTATAATTTCAATTTGCTATTTTTTTTTAATTAATATGAAATTTATCAATTTGTAAATATATGAGAAAAGCTTAGAAGTTATTTTTTAAATAATGCTATAAGTTATCAAAGAACTTGTAATCTCTCAGTATAAACGTATCGATTTATATTGAGTTATTGCGGGTCGCACGCGTGGCCAAAAGACAAAATGTTGACCCGTGGTGTGCAGTTCTCTCTGCAGATGCGTTCCCGCCGTCAGTGCAGCGTGCAGCCAGCGAAGTCGCCTGCAACGGCGACCACTGGGAAAATGTCCTGAAAGCAATACACTCACAAGATCAAAATATGTGGTAATGCCACTGTAGCCAGTTTTGATCCCAACAGGAGGATACGTGCTGTATTCTTTTTATATTACAATTATATTTTTCCTTTAATTTGTTAGTGGAATAATGTTGAGTTTGTTGTTTCGTAACAATAACTCTATGACTTAGTTTTGAGACATTGTAACATATAATAATTTTTCAATCTTTAAATATTAAACCCAATTACTTTTTTTGCTGTCTAATCACGGAAGCTTCCATATAATAAGCATTTTTGCATTTACTATGATTACATATTCAGCAAAGATATCGCAATTAGCGAACATTATACATAATTTCAAGAAATGATGCATTCGGAAATTTGCAATAAACAAATTAAATAACAGAATACGTTTTTCATATTTTAATTAAGTTTTTGAATATTCTAATGATAGAGAGAAGAAATGGTTTGCGTACTGACAATAACCTGCAGTGGTTATCTTTGCATAATTTTTAATAATGTAATTAATACTTTGTCGATAATGTGGATTTTTATTTTTCAAATACCAGCCTTAATTATGTCCTATATATGCGACTTAAACATGATAGGAAGAAGACTCAGCACTTTACAATTTTGTCTCAAGAGGGTGCATATGACTAGTCTTCATTAGCTATCCTGTTTAAATTTTATCTCTAAATAATTGATAAAATAATAAAATGCTTTGTAATGCGTTATTATGATGATTTATAGTAGAAAGTGAGCAATTGTGTATAAATCATCTGTAAAAATTGAATTAACACTGCAGAGGTATTTCTAAATATGAAATTCAAAGAATATGTTTAATCACTTGTACGTTTGCAAGAAAAGGAATAAATATTTTGCTTGTGATGATATTATTTTGGAGTTTGGGTTTTTTATTATTAAACTCCAAACTTACAATAGATTCATATTAATTTACTCACCATAAATTTGTAAGAATATGTGCAAATTAAGATTTTTTCCACAGGAAAAACTAGTGTAAAATTAACAATTGAATATCTTTTTGCTTACAATTGACAGTTAAAGCAGATGTCGCCCATGCTATGGAAAACACCCACTTCATTTATCTTACTGCCTATCCGAAAAATAGATTGTCTCTACTAGGTCATAGTGATGTGTGTTGAAACGACAACTCAACAGTGTCAATGATAACACCGGAAATTATATTTCCTATTATATTTTAGTAGCTCATTTAAACAGATGACATTATTCCACTACGACATATGCAGGTTATCAAACCTGAAGAGTAATCCTTATTTGTTATTTTCTTTGAGTGCGGGATCACTGTACTGTGGATATTCTTACAGGTTCCTACACAATACGAACTCTAATGAGTATAAGGCGTTCAGGGAGCTAGTGATTAAAATGCGAAATGAAGGACAAATGGATAAGAAACCGGAGGTGAAACCTGAAGATAAATATGAACCGGAATTCAGTTTAGAGGATGACGAGAGTAGTGATAGTAAACCCACTGATGATAAGAGGGATGGGTAATGGTTTTTTAAATAATTAATTATAGTTTTAAGGTAATTCTATTAATTGCCATCAGTTAAAAAGTTAAATTCGTGTCCATTATTTTTATTTATGAATGAAAATTTTACTAACATAGTAAAATTGTAACTAGACAATATCTGTACACGGAAGGTATTTAAGAAAAATTAACATAAGGGATTTAAATAAGACCAATAGATGTCTAAACAATAATTTTTAGAAATTTTCACTGTCTGTATGTTTGATCCAGCATGACGTAAAAAATATTGCACCAAGTCTAATGCGATTTTTACAGTTTCTTGGATGCATAAATGGCTATTTTACATTAAACTATAATATTACTATTATAATTACTAGTTGAGACACTATGCGGCCACCTATTATTTACGTAAAGCATGATTATTATTTCCGTGCCTATTCCATAATTACCTGGGGTGAAAATAGTTATAAATAGATTCCGAAATAAGTTACAGTGATATTGTTAGACATTTAATTTATTCAGATCAAATTATAGGTAGAAGTTTGATAGTAGATACAAAAGAAAAAAAAAACGCATTCAAATTATGTAACTATATATTTCAGTGCCTCAAACTGGGACCAGCACGGTATCAAACGAGAGCAAACCAGTTCTCAAAGTGACGAGGAACCAGAGGTGAAGAGAGAACGCAGAAGGGCAGGGAAGAAAAAGTCGCGGTGGGGCGATGACCCTCCTATGGTTGATATTAAACCTCCAGGCTTGGTGGCTGCGTTGCCGCCTGCTTTACCAACAGGTAATATAAGTTATTTTTAATATTGATCAAACTGTTTATAACTATTCCTCTCTATCTAAAGGTAGCCTGGAAGAGATCGCTTTCAGCGATAAGGCTATCTATTGTTTCCTCAGTGTGATCATTTCTTGCAATTTTTTGTATCTATAACAAGTTTATTACTGTAATCTTTTGGAGGAAACAATAAAGAGTATCTATCTATTGACCGAGCACTGGCGGCAAAGAAAGAGACAGAGAATGTAGAATGTGATCCATATGCCAGAGAGAAAAGGGATTGGTTATTAAAAGAATCTAACAGCCTTATGAGGCTGTCAACCTGATGGGGTATATCGCTAGTTATGACTAGCGATATACCCCATCAGGTTGACTTCACGCGGTTCTCCCTGAAAGCCTGGGTTATTGTGAAATTCCTCACGATGGGCTCACTGATCGTACCTCACTGGTGCTTCGCCAGTGTAGCGTACACGGTAATTTATAATCGAGAGATTGTTGAACTGGTCAAAATATGGTAATGTACTTATAAAATATGATATAATACATTTATATTCTATTTGTATAACCAGGTCCTAAACTATCTAAGATCGACGAAGATGGTCTAAAATTAACAAACGTGAATCGTAACAACCAAGCTCTAATGCAGTATGCATTAACAAATTATGGAACTACTAATTTAAGTGCTGAGGACTGGAAGAAATGCGAGGACAACTTCAAACTCAACCTTTTATATCAGGTATTGTGATTTTAAATAGACTTGTCTAAAATCGTTATTTATTCTGATTTCTTAATAAGGGTAATTTTAAAAATTGCATCCACTTATATATGTTCTTGTAACGATTATGCTGGACTATATATCGAATCGAATCGAACGCAAAGTATGTGTATAGTTTAGGTCTAGCTGTCGGCGCTAGTTGTACACAATAATAGCTTTAAGATAGGTTAAAGCGAAGGATATCTGTCGGATACACTATTAATGCTTTACGTAGTATGTAGTAGGTACACTATATAGTTGATGTCCGCTTCCAATTATAGTAGCAGTGTTCAGGCAATATGTACGGTGTTAGACCGTACAGAATGTATACTACCTCAAGTATATATTTGTAAATATAAATCTATTATTATTAATGTATTAAAAGGATTGTTAGAATGAGTAACGGGGTCTAACCTAATATATTCTATCAACACCACGCGATTTTTCCTGGAAATCACTGTGATTTATTATTGTTGAATTTGTCACGAGGGACGAACTGACCTATTTCATTCCTTTTTATCATCCCTCATTGGTTTCTCCAATGTATACCGATAGCATAGGCGGGTTCACTATTACATTTTTACTTATTAAAAAATAATTAGAACAGTGATTCTCAACCACTGTGCCGCGGCACTTTTGTGTGCCGCCAAATTTAGCAAATATTTAAAATTGTTGTTGTAGTAAGTAAATATTTTTTATCTTTTTCTTTGTGTGCCGCCAAATTTTGAAATTGTTAAATATGTGAAGCAACAAAAAAAAGGTTGAGAATCACTGAATTAGAAATACAGATTTCTGATCCTGTTTCATGTGGGTGAAGCCGCGGGATACAATTAGTATGAAATATTATTATGCATTGTAATATTTCATCCTAACGTAGAATGGGCCAACCTTTTCTTTCTTATGAGTGCCGTAAGAGGCTACTAAGGAAAATTAATGCTCGATCTTGAAACTCCATCTGCGTCCTTCTTAATCCTTCTTTGCATAATGGTAAAAATTTCCATCATAACATTGAATGCCCAAAATTATATAAAAGAACAAGTTCGCTTTAAGTTAATCGTGTCTGGATACCTTTTTAATGTCCATTGCAGAAAAGAAAACATAGTTGTCAAATTTATTTTTTTAACCATTTTTCTTTAATTTTGAACATGAATTATCTCATCTTGATATATTTCTCCATTAAAAAAAAAAAATTATGAATAGAAGGGTTAAAACATCACCAAAGTCTAACTACGGTTGCCAACCCGCCTACCAAGAGTGGCAACTACTGGCAAAATCCCCTAAGGGGGAGCCCTATGTTCAGCAGTGGTTATTCACTTATCCACTTTAAAGGCTGATTTTATGATAAGAGTAAGAAATGGAAAATGGAAAAATAGAGAACTGATATCCAAGGAACAGTTTTTCATCTATTTTCACAAATGGTCTTATGCATGCACCTGGTATCTTAGACTTCTAATAATAATAATACTTGTAATACATATTTTTTCGTAGGACATGTTGAAGAAAAGACAGGAAGTAGAGCGATTGGCAGCTGCAGGAAAAAATAAATATGAGTATGATAGTGACGAAGACACCTCAGAAGGCACTTGGGAGCACAAGTTAGTAAACATATATGTACATGTACATACACTACATTTTTACAAACTTTTTAAAAATCTATTCTTCATACTCCGGGACTTTAAGTCAGTGATTTCAAATGATAATATAATTAATTTATTGTTTTATCGTTCGCGACTTGAGCAAAATTGGCTCGGTAACCTATCTTTAAATTAAATTTATTTGAATTTTGTTCAGTTATTTAAATGTGATTGAATACCCGCATACAGCCATCTTAATTTTTTTAACGGGATAAAATCTATCTTATTGCTCAAGCTTGAGCAAACAATATATAATATATTCAGATTCGGAACGCGCGCGTCTGGTTTTGCAGGCGTTCATAGGCTGCGGTAACTGCTTACCATCACGTGGACCGATTGAGCGATTTCGAAGATTACCGTGACTTGTGAACTTTGTATATTAAACTTATTATATATTAAAATAGTGGAATATAGTTTTATTTTTTCCAAATTTCAAATATAAATTTTCAGGTTACGTGCGAGAGAGATGAGTGCAACAGAGAGATGGGCTACCGAACTCACTAAGCAGGCTGCCGGGAAGCATCATATTGGAGATTTCTTACCACCTGAGGAACTAAAAAAGTAATTGATAGTTTACATTTATATAAGAAAATAATCTAAGGTGGGGGTAGGTTAATAATGACTGCCACTTTGATTGTGAACGAGACCTCTAACTTGCCATGGGCATCACAGTGTATTTATTCTAAAACGCATATTATGTCCTTGCCTATAGGCAATAAGGCCACAGTTGCTAATTCAATTACGTGGGACCTCAGTTTATTATTCACAGTTTCACAAATATGTAAATTTTTCAGAGAAAAATAAATTGGCAACATGTTTAATAAATTTACAGATTCATGGAAAAGTATTCAGCAGTAAAAAGTGGCAAGGAGCCAGACTTGAGCGATTACAAGGAATTCAAACTAAAGGAAGACAATGTTGGTATGTAATTATCTCTACCAACTATACTTCTTGCAATAAGCAAGTGTGCGTTAATTATATATGTGTTAAAACTTTTGTATTTTGTACATACACATTAGGGTCTGTCCTGAAGTGAAACTAAGCTCAAAAATTAAAACACAATTTTTACACTAAAATATCAAATTTTACCGTAAAAATTGTGTTATAGATCCTTAAGAATTTAATTTTAAATAGTTTTAACTGTTATAAATTCTTTTCTTCCATTCATAATATTGACCTAATGGCTAAGGCTAACTAACATTTTTAGTTTGATTTTAGTGCAGTTTTCGATATAAATAATTTTTTCTTTCTTTATTCTTTATTGTACACAAAAGGTTATTGAAATGTAAAAACAAACATAATAGTGCACAAGGGCGAGCTTATCTCCAATAGAGATTTCTTCCAGCAAACCCAATATGAGAAAAGTATATATATATATATATATATATATATATATATATATAAATATATATATATATATATAATACATAAATATAATAAGTACGTACATCAGCATTGTGAGAGGTAATAATTCTTCAGACGTGTTTTGAAAATCCCAATGCTTGGGCTATTTCTAATTTCATGAGGAAGTGTGTTCCATAATGCAAATGGTGCTTCACAAACGAAATTACCATTGTAACATTCGTATACTTTATTATATAAATAACGTTATACTTACTACAAAGGTAGTAAACAAGAATAGAGCCATTGTTGCCAGGTTGGTTATTATTCGGAATTTTAGTTTTAAAAATTATATCCATTTGGAGGAACTATATTTAACTCTGAATACAACCTACCAAATGTTAAATAAATAATCAGGGACGCCTAAGTATTATGCAATGTATTAAATTATTTATTTCAAATGTGATAATAAAAAAAATAATCAGAGCATAAGATTATTTAGAATGCTCTATTTGATCTGCTAATTTATGTTAATTTTTTTGTTAGGTTTCAAAATGCTACAGAAACTTGGTTGGAACGAGGGCCAGGGGCTTGGTGCTGAAGGGACGGGAATAGTTGAGCCTATTAACAAGTAAGTTGTAAATGTACACAATTTTAAGGCAGCTGATAAGCTGTTATTTAAGAAATAAAGATTTAACAAAATTTAACAATGAGGATATGGAGATAAGGTTACAAATTGTTTATTTTGAAATTTAGCTTTTATAAATTTATTGAAAATATAAGCTGTGTTCTTGACTTAGGTTATAGGCCAATGGTTCTATTCCAAGTCTTACTAATCTAATAAAATTGTAATTAGACTATGTATGTGATATATGTAGCAAAATATTTAGAAAAAAAATAATAATATGAGTCTTAAAAAAGCAACAGAAACCAAATCCATAATTTTTAGAAACTTTGTCTCTATGTTTGTTTTGACATTGCGCAAAGACTACTGTGTCTCATAGTTGCGTTCCTATTCCAGTTCGATGTAGTCGACAAAAAGTATTATGTAATTTAGTATATGCAAATTTCATGATAATTGGTTGAGTCATTAAGGATTCAAAACGCACCAAGTAAACTCATATTTACATTTATAAAGTCTATTATAATTAGTACGGACATGTATAAAAATTTATAGAACATAGAACAATTCTTTTTTATTTTCGGCCAATATATAAAACTATTCAAATTTGAAACAATTATGCATTAACGATTTTTTATTAATTTTTATTTAAACAGAGCGAACCAACCAGTAGCAAACCTTGGTCTTGGTGCATCCGCGTCAGATCTAGTGTCACCCGAAGACGACGAGTTTGATGCCTACAGAAAGAGGATGATGCTTGCGTATAGGTTCAGACCTAATCCACTGGTGAGTGGAGTGCAATACCAGTTTATTCATATATTTGGACAACATGAAAAGAAACTTAAAAAGTACGCTCAAGAATGTATTTCCTGATGGTGTAGTCAGAGGGCGTTTGTCGACTATTACCATTGTGATGAACGTAACATTCTACATTGTCTTGAGCATGTTTGAATTTAATGTGGTAGAGACGAGCATACTGCCACCATACTGTATTAATTTGGTGTATAAAAAATGATTTTTTTCTTTTTGTTAAAAATTTTTATTTGTTATGAACATTTGAAAAATATTTGTCAAATCAGTGCAGATATTATTTACATCTATTTTCATATGATATGTGAACCGCATTGAATTAATCACTACCTGTATCCTGCGGTTTCTTCCGCGTACATTAGTTAGTATATATAGTATTATATTTTCTTAATTAAGATATAACCTATCTGTGTACCATATTTTATTCAAATCCATTCAATAGTTTTTGCGTGAAAAAATAAATACCAGAGGAAAACTTTGTACAAAGGTCGATTGCTTGGGTACCTCTGTTCCATTCGCGTTTCTACCGTGAAGCAGTTTTGTTTGCATGGCTGTGTTTCGGTTTGAAGGGTGGGATATGGTGTGAATTTACAGTGTACAGAGGAATAACACCTGAGTCCTCAGGAATGGCAACGCATATGGGGGGTATCATGAACGAAACAGTATACTCTGTTATGTTATGTCCATGGTACTGCTCATGTCTATAGGCGACGGTTACCACTTTCCATCAGGTGGAGCGTCAGCTTGTTTGCTATTCTAAGTTGTATAAAAAAATCATGAATAGATGATTTTTTTTTGTCTTAAAATTTCATATTTTTAATAGTAGTACCTAGCTGGATGTACTTACATTTATGAGTTTAATATTTCAATTACATTTTATTTATTTTCAGAATAATCCAAGGAGACCTTATTATTAAAAGGAGTATATTAATATTTAAAATAACTAGTTAATATAGGTATACAGGATAACGCTTTTGTTGTGCTCTTTTGCCCAAAACCTATAGGTAAATATTGTATGTCGAGTATATACAAGATTTTATCTAATATATATATATATATATATATATATATATATATATATATATATATATATATATATATATATATATATATATATATTAAATAAGGTTCACTGAATGTTGTTGTCACATATATCACATATATGTTTAATGTAACAAAAATAACATGTAATTCATTTTTTATTATAATTAAACATTAATCCATCATGTAAATTTTCTGTACAATTTATTATTATAAATGGTCATTGGATGGGATAAAATAAAATTTAGTTACTATTATTTTTTGTCACATAAAACTTCATACAAAATATGCACATTAAAAAAAAATTGGAAAATATTCTTTTGTGTTTATGTAAAGCTGTGTATTCATTAGTTAACAAATTGTTTCAAAGAACATTGACAATATTGTATAAATGGGACTGAAACAATAACTACATAGAATATTTAATAAAATTAGTTTTATAGTTAAAAGCGCTAAATACGTGTACAGGCGCTAGAAGGAGAAATTATAATAATCTTTTAATTAAGATTATTACGAGTAGCAATTGATCATTCCAAAGTATTATACAGAGATCATCTCATTGGATTATATTATTGGAATGAAAGTTAATCCTATATTATTATCCTATAATATGGTATGGCAACGTAAGGGAGGGTATCATGCGCGAAACAGTATACTCTGTTATATCCATGGTACTGCTCATGTGGGGGGAAAAGGGATTGTTTGTAATGGGGTCAAATAAATTACTAGCAATATACCTTGTCGACCTCCACATGGTCCCCCCTGGAAACCATCGTGGCTAATAATAGTTAAATTTGTCAGGATGGGCTAACTGACCTGTTTCCTCTTCATCTATTATCCATCACCCTTCATTGGTGCCCTGCCGGTGTATACCGATAGCGCGGGTGGGGTTACTATTTCATTATCACCCATAAAAAGGTACTGCTCATGTCTATAGGCGACGGTTACCATTTTCATCAGGTGGGCCGTCAGCTTCTTTGACATTCTAAGTTGTAAAAAAAAAATGTTAAAATAAATATCTAACATCCATATTTATGATGTAAGTGAAATAACATTTTAAATACACTATCGGAACTTAACTCGATGAAGAAATTTTGCAGGTAAATAGTACATACGTATCTGTTTTTGACGATAGTGTATTTAAAATATGTGTAAACACGATAGTTTAAAATGAACTAAATGAGATAATGTAGAGAGTGTAAATAATTTGGCCCGATGCACAGCTGAATAATTTAGTTAGGTTATAAATGTAGGTTTGTGCCTACATAAGTTTTCAAAATCAGAACAGCTAGTGAATACATGGCATATTATTAACATTTATGTTTGTAAAACTGTTTTATGAAACAGCATTATCTGTTGTTACCTTAAATAAATTTTTTTTCATAAAAAATATGTTTATGTATTTTTTACACACCACTATAATCGAATTTTGGTTTTCTAAATGGAAAGTATTTGGTTGTCGTGATCTTATAAAAAATATTTTAAAAATGTAATCGTTTCAATGCAAAGAATACGGAGTGAAAAGGTGTGAAAATGAATATTTTTTGAAAGGACAAACCAAGTTCATGGTAATATTATTAAGCTGCGATTTATACCTGTCATGCGTTGCATCATATCATTTGCCGCATGTTATAAGGCATTTTAAACGTTCAAATATATATGTATTCTATTTTTTTATCTCGTCTATCTCCTTAAATAGAATATTTTCCTAGTACTCCTTTGCATGATACTTTTAGTGTTGCAAATTTGGAAAATTAAATCTACACTAATATTATAAAGAAGAAAGATTTGTATTTATGTGTGTATGTATGTTTGTAATGAATAAACTCAAAACTACTTTGCCGATTTCAAACATTTTTTCACCATTACATTCACCTTGAGTAGCATAGGCTATATTTATTGGTAGAAAAGATTAGGGATCCTTACTAAAATTTTAGTAACGTAACTCAAGGTGTAAAAAATGAGAAATAAATAGTGCTAACAGTCCTATTGTTAGCAATACATCCTGTCAGGTCGACTTCCATGTCATCATTGCCCTTTTCATTGTCATCTATTGTCTTTCACTAGTATCCAGTGTATATACCAACAGCGCAAGTGGAGTTACCATTCTATTATTATCCATTAAAGAATTTCGCATTTATGGATCAGAGATTCTTACAAAATCTAACGATGAGGGGAAGAGAGTTTAGCTTTATACACACCACGTGATGAATGAACGTCTCCTAAACAAGTAGCCATATATTTCTGACGTAAATATGATCTCGTTAACAATATGCTATCTGTTTTTTCTTCACAGGTTATCGTATGCGCAATTAATTCTGAGATAAATTGCTATATAATTAACACTATACCTACTGTTGCGTTAATTTATATTAATGTGTTTCAATCCGTCTGAAATATACACGTGTTTTCTGCAATACAACTGACCTATTTTATAAGGTATTTGTAGGATGTTTATGTCACTGTGTTTGAAGAACGAACTTGTATATTTAAGAAGATTTATTTGAGTAGTCAAACAAACCGGCAACCGATTTTTAATCTGATCTCATAGTTGTGTTGAATCAATTTCGCCCGAATTGACGCCTTAGTCGAATGTTCCGCGAGCGTGGCTTTGAGCTACTACTTTGTTTAATTTTAGACACAAGTGACAAATACTTTGGAAGTTGTGTATTCCATTCAGTTTCTCATATAATTTCTTAGTTTCACGATGTCTTCTGCGATGTCCACACATGAAACTTTTATAGAAGTATGTGTACGGAGTAATTGTAAACAACTCTAAATTATTACTTTACTGTGTGACGATAAGGTTCATTTTAGTTTACAAAAATGACTGTACGAAAGAGTGCTAGTTTTACAGTGTACCAGCGTCATATTAATTCCATTAGTAGTGAAACTTCAACATCATCTAGTTCATCATCAGAATCAAGTGACACACCATTGAAACGGTAAGTGATTTAGCTATGGAATAATAGTTCATAAAGTATCATAATTAGAGTGCATTTAGTTTCTCTATTCTCTGAAATATTTAGATAAATAAATAAAAGTATTAATGTACAGGTTAATGTCATATATTTTTTAAACGTACAAAAATTTTATGAATGATACATAATGTTATTGATTAAAATTAGATTTGATCACAGTCTACACCTTGGGATGATAACGCCTGAAAAATAGTGAAGGCAATATTTGTAAAATAGGTCTGACTGCACCCTTTTGCAATGGAGTATTTCTGTAATCTTTACTTCTATGCAAGTACCTGTGTATGAATAGATTCTATGGGTATTTACTTTTAGTATAGCATTGACATAAACTATGTCGATCATAATTATCACGGTTCTGGAAGATTGATGTTAAGTTTTGCAACCCAGTTATTTCACTGCCATGCTACATCCAAGCAGTTACAGCTGTTTAGCAGCTTAAACACGGTATAGAAATATCTACGCGGACTAATTTATATAGTCTCCCTCTAGAATTATTTGTAGAAAGAAAGTGAAACAATAAAGCGTAGGGTGTATCACAGTGTATTCTGTGAACCATGTGTGTGGGCGACTGTTATTTTATCAGGTGGTCCGTTTCTCTAAGGACAATCTTTACAGTGTAGCAGTTTAACAAACTGTCGCCAAGTTTGTATGAATAAATATAAATATTGCAAAGAAATGAACAGAATGGAGGCATAACAAACTATGAGTTCGCAGGAATACCTACGTGTAAACAGTATCATGGACGTTACAGTGTACGATACAATAAAGGTTACGGCTTTCAAACAATCTGCTGATAATTGCAAGTTCAATTCCTGTACAGTGGAATTTGCCGTGTGATTTTGGCATAGAATGGGGCACCCTTTCCTTTACTGTGGGTGTCGTAAGAGGTAACTTAGGAAATTTAATAGTCGAGGCAAGTCTAATCTGTGGCCTAACTGCGGTTGCCAATCTGCCTACCAAGCATGGCAACTGCTGATAAAACCCCCCTTTATGGAGGAGGCCTATGTTCAGCAATGGACAGTTAACTGTTGATATGATGATAGTAGAAGAACTCATATTCTTCGCCTAACCTGTATTGATTTGGATGTTTGTCATGTATTTTTTTTATACAACTTAGAATGGCAAACAAGCTGACGGCCCACCTGATGGAAAGTAATAACCGTCGCCTATAGACATGAGCAGTACCATGGACATAACAGAGTATACTGTTTCGCCCATTATACCCCCTATGCGTTGCCATTTCTGAGGACTCAGGTGTTATTCCTCTGTATCCAGTAAATTCACGCCATATCCCACCCTTCAAACCGAAACACAGCCATGCAAACACAACCGCTTCACGGTTGAAACACGAATGGGACAGAGGTACCCAAGCAATCGACTTTTGTACAAAGTCTCCCTCTGGTGAATGTATATCACACTTAAACTCGTATATGTGTATAATGGTGTAGGTATGTATTGTAATGAAAAAAATGTGGGTCTACAGGTTGTCTATTAAATCTCTACCATGGAAAAAGGATTTTATTCTTATTCTTAACACAGTATAATGTGTGCTTAATATGACACTGGTATTGTATAAATATGCCTATAGCTTATTATTTATAATCATTATTATACATACATACTTATAAATCCGAAAAAATTACCTTCTTTTCTTTTTCATTCGGTTAATAAACCATAAATAACGTTATTATTTCTAGTGTGTGGAAGACCTCTTAAAAGCTTTGCATTAATCTACATTTGCGTAGACTTTGATCTTGATAATTTTAAATCAGTGTCTTCCAAGAGGAACGTTAATAATTGACACTAATTTACAAAAGTATCTAGACATCTGAGTAGAGTATCTAGAGTTTATCTGTTTGTATGCCAAATGTTATCCATATCCATCCGTGGATTGATAAAAATACTTAAACGATGACAGTAAGATGGCGGAATCAAATAACTAATTATGAAAAACGATTTAACGCTAAACGTTCTTTTGGGTTGTCTGTAAACAAAAAAGAAAGCTTTTATATATTGTTTTATGTTTGAATATACAACATATTATTTACATAGATTTTTGTTAGTGTACATATCTACATTATAGCAAAAATAATTATCAAAATTAGTTTAGAGTTTGCAATATAATCACGTAACATAACACAAAAAATAGAGACCATTAGGAAAATCACCTCTATTTAGAAGTCACTTAGAAATGTCCATCTGTCCGACTTCTTTACAAACTTATTATAACATTGGTAGGATAATATTATTATATTTTTTACAATTATAATAACATTTTTACAGCAACTTGTTATTATTCGAAGGTTCAACAAAATAATCCGATCTTCGGTAGCACGCCACTGGGCTTACTTCAGGAAAGAAAGACCGGGGCTACGGAGCAGTGACCGATGTAAATCCGATTCTACAATCTGTGAATTAGTTCATAATGGTAATTATTCATTCTCTTTGGAATATTTTTGATAAACTTTACAACGCACCGAGAGCTAAGGTGTTGTGCTTCCGTATTTTGTAATTATTTAAATTAGCTTAGCCCTTTAAACTGTTACTTGTACTTAATGATACTTACTAATGATATGATCTGGGGGGAAGGAATTGTTAATAATGGGGATCAATGAGTAATAATCTCATTGCTAGTAATATACCTTATCAGATCGACCTTCGCGCAGTTCTTCCTAGAAAACGCCTGGTTGACAGCCTTGTATTCATCGTCACCTATGATCCTTCGCTGATTTCCCGCCAGCGTATACCGATAGTGCAGGCAAGTTTCCATTCCATAATGGTAGCCATTGTATTGTATTATATCAGTTGTTAACTGGCTATTACTAGACATGGGGCACCCACATAAATAGGAGTTTACCAATAGCCACGCTTGGGAGGCGGGTTGGAAACTGCAGTTAGGCTTTGATGCTCTTTTAAAAGCGACGCTGCTGCCCATCCCTCGACTATTAAATTCCCTTAGTCGCTTTTTAAGACACCCACAGGATAGTAAGGGATGGTCCATTCTATGCTGGGACCACACGACGTTTATAATCATGATTGCGCAAAAAAATAGTATCAAGTCTCTGTATATTGGTGAAACCTATCTATCTACAGATACATTTTCGCTGTGGTGTCTTTGAGATAGAATGAGATAGTATGATCCGGTGTCTTGTTTTGTTTCACAGGCGCGGTAGTGTGATAATGAAATCTTATCTACTGATAGATTTGTGACACTTATCTGGACAGGCATAGAGAGAATGTTGGCATTACCTTAATGATTTATGAAATAGAATAGGAATAGAAATTTATTATTTGATAAAAACACAAAGTTACAAACACAAGATATAATGGGCCCCACACTAGGCGAACCTGTATCGTGGGCACTCGAGAAAGTTTAAAAATTTATTATAATAAAAAATACAATAGTGGGCGGGTATTAATATAAAAGAAATCGAATATAAAATAGACATAATGATCATTGCTGATCAGGCATGAATCAGTATGAAGTTTTGTTTTTGATTGAAATAGAAACATTGTTTTATCTTTGAGTTAAGTATGCAAAATTAGTGTCTGTTATCTACATAGTCCACACCACATATATCACAGATAATTATTATAATTTTACGCTGCATCATAAAGTATGTCATATTATTGCTGTAGGTGACTTTTATCTCGGCCATAATTAAATAAGGTCACCAGCAACCTTAACCTATTGGTAATCGCTCAGAGTCCTCGCTTCTATAATACTTGTCACATTGGATAGGTTTTGCGATATCTAAGAATAAAAATGAAACATGGCCTGCGCTATTGAACTATCGATATGCACTGGCAGGCACTAGTAAAAGATAATATGTAAGATTGAAGTTAGGTTAGTTGGCATACAAGGGTTTTTTCTGGAATTAATCACAATGGTTTTCAAGGAGGAGTAAGCGATTATCGATCTGATAGCGTATATTGCTGGATAAGTTTCGCGTTATACAGTTCGGTCAAAGCAAACGCAGGCCTTATGATATTGCATTTGGCGAAATAAAATTTTTTGATGGGCCTGGCAGTTGCTATCTTTCATTTCTCAGTCACTATGCTTATCTGGTTGTCTGCAGCCATTTTGTGTGTGTAAATATAATATTTCTTGAAAATATAAATTATGTAGAAGTAGTTCATAAATAGTGGAGGCTGCATTCGCTTAAGGTTACGGTGAGTTATTAAAGAACCCTCCGTACTATTGAGTATCGAAGGTCTGACACGTCTTTGGCAAGATATTATAATGCATCTAGCAACTTAGGTGGTGCAGTAGTTAGTTATTACGTTTTCGTCTTCCGGTTGTTGCGGTTACGAACTCAAACAGTACAAATAATTGTATTCACAAGTTTGTTATGCTGTGTATATTGGACAGAGCATTTTGTATGTATGTATATATGAATAAATGTAATAAAGTATGTACATGTCTAATACTCCTATACGGCGCTCCCTACAATTAGACTTCATTACTATAAAAAAGAACTATTAATTTACTAGAATATGTTTTAGATTCCCACCTGGAGTATTTGGACATCTCGGCAGCCACCTGCCCCCGTCGCTCTCTTCAGGTTGGCAATGGACCAGCTAGGGCCATACCGTCCTTGTTTATTACGTGAGTAGTGCATTTAATTATGTTCACTTCATTCATGTCTGCATACCAACTGTCTGGTTGTAGTTGGCTTTGGCACGTTACATACTTACTAAATTAGAATTGTATCGTAATATTGTATTGTAATACGTATGTATCATAAGTTTAGTTTATCAAAATTTGGTAAAGTCGCAATTATTTCTTTATAGTTTTGCATACATTAAAATATATCTACAGGGCGTCAGGTATGTGTCAAATTTAAAAACAATTTCACAATTTTTTTGTGTTTCTGACTGATTATTATTTAAAAAATTCCTTGTTAGCACACTAAAACGTTTATTCATACAATTATATCCTTAGTAAGCTGTCCCTGTAAATTTAGAATTTAGATTTTATGCAATGTATTCTATGAGTAACGTTTTACTTCGTTAATTAAGCACTTTTTAAATATTAAATCAGAAATATTAAAAAATGTTCAATTGTTTTTTAAAATTGACAAATAATTCAAAATGACGTTATCATACGAGTACTTCGATAAGCAAGTATAAACTCGCTTAATGTAAATTTATTTTTATTGTCATTAATTTTGTGTCCTAGTTATATTATTAGGTATTTAATAATTACAAATTGGTGACTTGCACAATCAAAATAGGCACGTAACTTTTTAAAATAAACAAACAGAGGTTACTGTTTCTAAATATCAAGTTTTCCGGGTTCTTGTCATTGTTTTCTTTTATCATATTAGCCAGTATTTATATATTTACTACTACTTGTATGAAAAGTTTCCAGGTCGCTTTCGTTATGCACGAAGATCTAGGACGTAGTTTATGGGACGATGGTTTTACGTAGCATCCAAAGCAAGTAGCAAGCAAAAGTAATTTTTTAAACGATCCAAACAGAATTTGAAATATTCATACCTAAGCAAAAATTCGATCCTGAAACCTTGGAATCGCTATCGAGTGTTGTCTTACTTAGCTGTCACAACTTATCTATATTTGGAAATAAAAAGAAATAAATATTTTGTTGTGTTCAACAAAACATGGCCATAAAATATTCATTTGACTTAGCAAACAATGCCTCCATAGAATATTCATATTGATCTTTTCCGACCTTGACCTATCCCAGCTGAGTATGGGGATTTTCCTTTTCCTGTTAGCAAAACGGACATAAATAGGTAAGTATGTAGGCTGTAAAAACACGCGTTCGTTGCAAATGAATGTGAAGAGTAGCTAAATATATTTTTGCATTCAGTTAATTGCTCAAAAAAAAAACAAAATAAAACTACATATTAATACAGGACCAGGCGGGTTCCTCGTAAGGTTTTTTTTTAATAAAATATATCCACGTTTTTTTACTAATATATGAATGATATTATTTGTTGTTAAATGAAAAAAAGAATAAGGTTTTTTTTTTGTATTAATTTGAGCAATACTTTATAAATAATAGAATATAAGCAGAATAAATAGTAATAGTATTAGTTTATATACTTTTACGAAGTTTATATACTTTTTTTGTAACCTGTTAAAAACTTTGTAAAATATTTAAATAACATTTATTTTAGTGTAATCAACCTGGCAGGTGTAACGATTGCAGTACTTTCAAATAATTTATTATTTTTATAAAATATATAGTATAATCGTTCCAAATATGTAATCAGTACATTATAATGCATAGGCGTACATTATGTATTTTTTCTATACATTAAGTTTTTTTTAATAGGGTTTGCTCACAGAATAGTAATAAACAAATCCAAAGTATATGCGGTACCCCTCAATATATCAAGTTATCCATGACATCGCATGGGTTGTGCATCATCAAATTAATTAATAATTTACGCTGAAGCGATGTAATAAATGAGGAACGATATAGGTGAGGATAAAGGGAAACAGATGGCTCATTATAAAGAACTCACCATGAATTTATAAGATGTAACAAAGTACTATTTACCGTTATATAAGTTACTTCCAACAACATATTAAAATATTGAGAAAAAAAGTTTTAGACATCTTTTTTCCTAGAAAGTATGAACTGTATGACCGTATATTTTTAACTAAATAAAGATTATAATAGTGATAATATATTAGAGGAATTTTCCCGCGAGACGTATTAGGTTTACATACTGTGAGGCATATTGTGTTACCTGATATCGCTCAATAGACTGGAAATATGCGTGCGTAGTCCAGATGCCGACATCGTGACGCCATTATAATTTGAGAAGGCACCTAAACTTTACGAATATAAGCTTTCGTTTACTTGAAATATAACGTGTAGTCCATCTGATGATGAATTAATTAAAGTACTAGCTGTTTCTCAGTTTCGCCTACATGTATCAATACGTATATAAAATATCACATGTGCCAAGTTAGGATATAATCTATCCGTGCGTCAAAATTTATTTCAATCGATTCAGCTATTTAAATGTGTTTGAGTATTAAACATTCACACTGTCACATTTATAATATTAAGCTATATATTATTCAAAAGTAAGTAAGGATCTCTATATTTTCAAAATTACAATAATATAACCCCAAGTATCAAAAATTTTATTTATTACAGGTATATATTTATTTATTTAACATATTCTGTGTTATTAACTTATTGTTGTTACTGTATGTTTATATATATATATATTCTTATGTGTTACTATATGTTTCCTCTATTCAATAATGCACAGTCCGGTGTTAAATTCGCAAAATGTACATAAAATTTTACTGTGAATGAAAGTTATAATAAAAAAAGAAATTAAAAATTTAATCAATAGGATGCGAAAATTAGTATGTTACTAATTTGTAGTCGAATTATAAAATTTGTAATTACTAATTATCGAATAATAAAAACAATCGGATTCGCACACCGCTAGCACTAAGAGGTAACAAACAAACAAACTCACTTTCATAGTATTAGTAAGAATTACTAATATAATATTTCTCTCCCTTTAATATCCATTTATTGAAAATATCAATAGTACTTCATAATATCGATATTTTTAATTCTCTATACTTTCATCATCATCATCATCATATCAGTCATTATCTGTCCACTGCTGAACGTAGTCCTCTCCCATACATTGCACCATTAGGACAGTTTTGCCAGTAGTTGCCACACTGTGCAGGCGGGTTGGCAAACACAGTTAGGTCTTTAGTAAAGTTAAATTCTCCATACTTTATTTGATATAAATTTTATATAGAAATTCTGAAACCAAATTTAGTCTGAATGCCAAAAAATGCAGTCATATCTATTCATACCTGCGGATGTACTATAGTTTACGTTCATCTATTTCACTTTTAATTAATCTAAAAGATTACCATGTTAACGAGCAGCTGTTCGCACGATTTTGTCTGTATAAATTTCAGAGGGAGACTTTGTACAAAAGTCGATTGCTTGGGTACCTCTGTCCCATTCGTGTTTCTACCGTGAAGCAGTTGTGTTTGCATGGCTGTGTTTCGGTTTGAAGGGTGGGATATGGCGTGAATTTACAGGGTACAGAGGAATAACATCCGAGTCCTCAGGAATGGCAACGCATGGGGGGTATCATGGGCGAAACAGTATGCTCTGTTATGTCCATGGTACTGCTCATGTCTATAGGCGACGGTTACCACTTTCCACCAGGTGGGCCGTCAGCTTGTTTGCCATTCTAAGTTGTATAAAAAAAAGCTTAAATTTTTCAGTACTCTGGAAAAAATCTTTATAATTTAGTGCTTGACTCGAGATATCCTTCCTACATCTCATATGTAATGCGAGCAACGTCGCGCATAAAAACCAGTAAGGAAAAATGGTTATACTACTCGTACCTACGCATTACAGCCAGCTATTTGTTTTTGTTTACACATTTACCTTCTGTATTAGTATATACTGTTCTTACTATATATTTAACTAACAGCACTAATTAATTATTTTTTATGTTTACTCGTTAAATTTTATCACTTGCAACAAATTATTTTTACTAGTTATAACTCATGGTTTTACCTGCATGAATCAGTATATAAAGTATGCTGTATGTTATGTTAGTATATGAAGGATACGAAGAACCTATCCGTGTACCAAATTTCATTCAAATCCGTTTAGCCGTTTAAGCTTGATTGGGTAACAATTAACAAACATACAAATATCACAAATCCTTACATTTATATTATTAGTGGGAGTCATTTATTATAAAGGGATAGCCCATGAACTAACTACCTTATTCATAAAAACGTCAAACCTCTTATAAATATATTTTAGTTATTAAACTATTTTGTCTCTTTCTTTTGTACTAAATTCCTAATTTAAAAGAAAGTGACAAAACAATGTTATAGGTAAAGTAGATTTATAGAAGTTTTTATATATATATATATATATATATATATATATATATATATATATATATATATATATATATATATATATATATATATAATAAGTGAAATATTAAACTGCAGTGTACCATCTGTATCTATATTAAACCATAATTATTATTATTGTTAGCCATATAGTCTTAAAATTTAAGGTTCCTAAAGTAGTAAATTCCTAGAGAACATTTTGGAGTAAAAGTTAGAAGTTAGAAAAAAGGGAAGATTAAGAAATAACTACACACGTTTAAGAGGCTAGGTATTATATTACATACACATTCAAGAACATAGTTTGAGAAAGAGCCACGTGGAGAGAGATACTATATTTAGTTATTTTGATAAAATGTCTTACAATATATATATATTTATGTTTGGATGTTTGTTACTTTATGATCTTTAAATGATATATATAACTCAATATAACATAACATGTAGACAAAGTCACGCTAGTTTTTCTACAAAGCTGTATGCATAATTGTTAATATGTAATTAATACAGAAAACTTAAATGATAGGATCGATAAAAAAGACTATGTTTAGTGATGCGACCTAATATTTGTACCTTTCATCTGGAGATGAAGATATTAGTAATGAATAATTTCTATACGAAAATTTAAATAAACAGAATTGCCGCCACTTATCCTATCATACATATGATTGCAATCAATATTGTGCGCAATGCACCACTGCGCATGTT